TCAAAATCGGTGGATTAGTTGTTAGAGCACTAAAATAAGGTGATGGATGGGATTTTGTTTTGAGAAATATGATAATCAATCGGGCGAGATGTACAAAATTTCCCTTTAAACCCAGGCCGACTCGGCCGTGTTTTTGTTCCTTTCACTAATCCACAACTGCCTGTTGCCTGTTATTTTGTTTGCTTTAACTTTAGAACAAATGAATACCTAATAATAATTAATAATAATATGTAAACTAATGGGGAAAATTCCAAAGTTAAATTTTTAAATCGAAGTCAATTTTTTAAACCATCTTGGCCATTATCGTTACTACTGGACATGTTACATTTCAAGAACAGATGTTCAAAATTATGCATGGAATATTTTTAATGTAGAATTTAATTCATAAACCAGACTTAAAAAATAAAAATTGTCACTGTATTTTTTTAATATGTTTTGAGACACATTTTAACATAATTCTGACATACTCTTGTACTTGCTTGACATTGCACCCCCTTGCCAGATAGGGTGTGTGACAAAGTCATGAATGCTAAATTTTCCTGGTGCTATCCTGAGGTGGCACTGGGTGTCTGAGAGATCCCCAGTTTAAAAATCCTCCTGATTCACCAACCTACTTTTCTTATTTTTCAACTAATTAAGGTTTTTAATTGTGATAAAAAAGTCAATGGCACGAGCGGAATTCGAACCCACGATCTTCGGCTTGATACGAGGTGCGGTTGAGATGGGAAGTTGGTGTCCGAGTGGATCGAGGTCACATAGCTCAAGTGGTAGAGCAGCGGCGTATCAAGCCGAAGATCGTGGGTTCGAATCCTGCTTGTGCCATTGACTTTTTTATCTCAACTAAAAACCTTAATTAATTGTAATATATTAATTGGTCAAGCGGACCACGAAATTAGTGAATTTATTTTCAACGTTCACGTGTGTATATCACATGGAGTGTCTACCAGACCTGGTTTACCCTATGTTTCTCCATTATTTAAGTTATTTGCTAATCGAAACAAGGAGGTTCAAATCAGTTCCAACAAGCGGGACCTGCTGCAGTTGGTCCAACTTTGTTGGTCCAGTTTGTTTTAACGAGGGCGCCGGTTATACCATTTTGCACGACTTATAGGTTTTGAAGGTTTATTCGATTTTATAGCTCATTCTAGGCTGCAAATGGATAAAACTGCACGTTTCAATTATTATTAAAAAGCTTGATTTTGAACTTAAGATGAACAATTTTCATCTAACAAGGGGCGACTCTCCAAAATATCGGACGCCTATCCGCCACTTCTTGTGAATAGGTCGTGGTTTCGTCCAAATTTTTTTTGAAAGTTGAAATTTTCTTTTTTTAAATTTTTTTATCTAAAGAGATTAAGATTTGGGTGCGTTAATGAATTTTTTTAAATAAGCCAGGTTGGTTAAAAACCTTATCTGGATCAAATTTGTAAAATTTTATCAGGCCCCATAGAATTTTCTCGGTCCTGACCCCAGTCCCATGTATCTCGGCTGTAATTTTCATCAAGTTATCGCACTTGCAGTCAAGACCAAAAAAGTACTATGGGGCCTGATAAAATTTTACAAATTTGATTCAGATTAGGTTTTTAACCAACCTGGCTTATTAAAAAATTCATTAACGCTTCCCGATCTAAATCCCGCCGCTGACAATATTGCGTGATTTGCCCTCGTGAATCTTAAATGCTTCCTTCACGCCAAACATTATTATGCAAATTGAACATTTTCCAAGCGCCTTATCTTTAAATGACTTTTTCGATGAAAATAATGGCGGCCGTAATTGATAAAACAGTTCCCTATGGCCTGACGAGCGTTTACTTCTTTCATTCTTTTAAGACATCTTCATCTCGTGTTATTTATTACTTTGATTATTAAATAAAACTTTATAAGTTTGAGGATTAAACAGTTTGAAGACCGAGTGAAGGCTAAATTATTAAATATTTAGCATAATTAATAATAACAATTTAAATATTTTTAACCAAACGTATAATGTGTGGTGATTAGTGACCGTTAATCGATATTTATTTAGAAATCGTGAGATGCGGTGTGGTGTGATGTAGGTTTCAGAATGTAAATCCCAGGCCCTGAAGATGATCTCAATAAAGATCGAAACGTTGGCACATAAAGAAAATGTTTTTCTGAAACCTACATCACACCAGACTGCATCTCACGATTTCTAAATAAACAAACTTATAATTTTCTGCTAAAGAAACAGTTAAGCAGTGAGGTCAATATGATAGCAAAACATTTTCAATTTTTTTATTTTTTTATCTAAAGGGATTAAGATTGGGAAGCGTTAATGATTTTTTTTTAAATAAGTCAGGTTGGTTAAAAACCTTATCTGGTTCAAATTTGTAAAATTTTATCACGCCCTTAGAATTTTCTTGGTCCTGGGAGTTATCGCACTTGATGAAAATTACATCCGAGATACACGGGACTGGAGTCAGGACCAAGAAAGTTCTATGGGGCTGATAAAATTTTACAAATATGATACGGCGCCGGTTCTACCATTTTGCACGACTTGTGGGATTTGAAAGTTTATTCGATTTTATAGCTCATTCTAGGTTTCAAATGGATAAATTTGCACGTATCAATTATTATTATTAAAAAGCTTGATTTTTAACTTAAGATGTACAATTTTCATCTAACAAGGGGACGACTCTCCGAAATATCGGACGCCTATCCGCCACTTCTTGTGAATATGTCGTGGTTTCGTCCAAAATGTTTTTTTTGAAAGTTGAAATTTTCTATTTTTTTTATTTCGCTGTTTTTCTTGCTCAAATCAACTATATACATACATCATTTAACAGGATTTTTTATGTATCTTAGATTTCAATAAAAATATTTGTACATAAAAGCTATCAAAGTTTATCAATAATCAAAAAATGTCTAAAAACCAATTTTTTTTTCAAGTAAACTGCCATATTATTTTTTCGTGAAACTAATGTGGAATTTCGTTTTAGCACTTCTAGAGACTCTCTAAATATAAATTTGTGTTTGAATTTACATTTATCGATTTTTTTACGAAGCATAAATCGTTATTTTGCGATTAAAAAATATTCTTTTTGGTCTATTAATTTCATTGTTGGTTAACAAAAAAGATATTCTATGCCGCAGAATATTCTAGTTTAGTATGATTTTAAAAGATAAATCAATAAAGTACTCTTTGTTTTTCCTCCATATTTTAACCAACAGTCTATATATAAGCAAAGTAGGTCAGATAATGGTCAAAACTTGTATTTTTACTTACTTTAACTTGGACAATTTACCTACAGTATCCTGGGTCAGAAGCAACAAAGATAAATCATAGGTTATTGCAACTCATTTAGAATCCGCCTTTACTCCTCATCCAGATATAAATGATGCACCTCGTGCACCTATAATACATAACCTTTATATACCACTTCCTCCTCATTTCCCTCTCAATCTTATACCTCATTCTGAATTTAAGTACTATACATACAAATCCCTGGGCTGTCTTCCATCTGGAATAACTCAGAAAGGTCGATCCTATCAAAATTTTCCTTTCAGTAAAAGTGGAAAAAATAAGCTCTAGAATCGAATTGTACAATAAAAATATGGGATTCTCATTTAAAATAACAAAGTGGAATTTACCATCTAGATGAGAAAGTCACATTAAACGTGTTACCACCAGCGATTCCTAGCTAAAATTGACTTAGACTTTATGAGACCTTATTTGCCTCAAGTTAATCATTTCTGAATTAAATGGGTGGACTATAGAAGTTGATACACCCTGTATATCCTCCAACAGATCTATCAGCCTTCTTCCTACATCCAAAATCCTCGAAAGACACCCTTTAAAATATTTAATACCCGTGCTATATTAATGTTGAAGCATTCCTTCTGATCAGTTAAACTTCATCCAACAAGGTTTAAGAGTTGATGTCTCCGCTCTAGAAAAAAAAAAACTTGAGCCGTTCCTGTGGGTATCCCAGGTTCTTGATAGAGTCCTGCTCCCAGGCTTCTTATATAAACTTTAACGTTGCTTACTCACCCCTTATTACCTTATTCTCGAATTTAACTGACCGCTGCTTCAGAGTGAGTCTTGAATTGATATCAGACCAATATACGCCGGCGTCCCACAAGGGAGCATTCTTAGACCCATACTGTTATCATTGTACTGCTGACTTTTCTTTACATCCCAGCACCATCAATATGACCTCTGCAGATAACATTACAATTATGTCTTCTAGATAGAGATGTTTAGATTTTTTTCCAAACAACCTCCAACATCCAAGAATACCTTGAGGTTATCAAAGACTGGAGCAAAAAGTGGAGTACAACACTGGATGAGGAAAAATGAACCCAGTGTACAATTATACTGATATATAGTCCACTGTACATCAACAAGGAGTTTCCGACTTTCACTCAAGCCAGTTACTTAAGTCACTAGACCTAGACAGCAGACTGACGTGGAATCCCCACACAAGACTTAAGAGAAAACAACTTAATAGAAGACTTGGTCCACTATGAAAACTTTTAGGACATTTTTTGACCTTCAAAACTTAGCTAACTCTACACAAGATATTACTAAAACCACTTTGGACATGCATGGAACTGCAAGCCATCCAATATCCAGTGCATCCAATCCTTTTGATTACAAATCCTCATACAAATTGCTAAAGCTCCTTATTACATCATTATCCTCACTATTCATAGCAACCTCAGTCTTTCTTTTGTAAATGAACTGGGCCAACCTTCTACCAAAAGTTTCACACTAAGCTTTTGATCCATCCTAAAATGTTCAAGCCTTGATATTCTCTCCCATCCTGAGAACCCACAACGTTTTCTTAAATGCCTCTCTCATATTGAGTGCCAGTGTTGGCTGGTTTAACTTAACTTACTTGTCCTGCAAGTATAGTGCTGGCCATAGTGACATTGTTGTTACTGGTTGAAAACAACCCATTTGTAATATAATATACAGGCTATGTTTATTTTAAAAAATTATCATCAACATAATAAAAATTATATGGCATTATTTCCAGAGAGACTTAATGTTCTCTATCAGCGAAACTGGACTCGCCTTGTGACTGAACAGCTGCGTCAGTTAGAAGTCAATGTAATCCAGGCCGTAAGGGCACAGGGAAGAGAGAACACCCTTGATCCTGATCTACAATGGTCTTTCACTGGGTCGCTGCTCTATTCTTTAACTGTAATCACAACAATAGGTAAACATTACAATTTTGAAGTATCTCATGAATTTCTGTCTGATATTTTGCTGATTTTAAGGTTGCGGAAATTTGGGCCCTAAAACAATGGAGGGAAAGCTCGCCACGATGATCTACGCCCTCATTGGCGTACCGCTCATGTTGGTGTGCCTCTCCCACCTCGGCTCTCTGCTGGCCGACATCATCCAAAGTGCCTATTATTACGTTTGCTGCTGTTCAAAGCAGTCTAAGAACAATGGTTTGTTGACATCGTAACATCTTTTTACTGTAAAGAAGTGCTGATTTTTGTCTGTTTGTAGAGAGAATGGAGTACCAGATGGAAGAGAGAGGAGCAAGGATGAGGAGTGTCGAGGTTGTAGGAGGAGGATGCGGACGAGCCGTATGCAGGCTGACCTCATTAGACAGCATGTTAGACTACACTCCAAGATCCAATTCCGTTCACGACAGCGATGACGATGAACTGGAAAACAATAGAGGGTTGACAAATTTTAAATTTCAAGTTTCATATTTTTTTCCTTGTGCTAGAAAGCAAAATATAAAAATATGCGCATGTCATCCCCCTCCATTTTGAGTCATTGGGATTTCTTTTCTCTTTTTGCACTTCAATTTTCAACTATTGTGTTCAATCTCTACTTATGGATTTCCTGGAAGATTTTTATTTCTTTAATGAAGTACAGAATTCTTCTCAGGGGTTTGATATCTAGGTATATATTGCACAGAAATGGCTTGCCCAGATATCAAAGCCTTTTCGTAGCTATTGCTGGGCCGTGGTTACCTGTTGATAATCCCATCTTTTAAGTCGGAATTTACTGTAGCATGTCCAAAAAAATTTACCAGTTATGGTTTTAATTCCGTGCTGTTGGTTGTTTTTGCAAGTAATCTTTTTGATTGTCTCATGTCTTGCTTTCCAGTTCTAACCTAAGACTCCAGCTCTTTAGCTGAAATTCCCTCATGACATGGAACCCATCTTGAAGATGTTGAATATGGAAAATACGAAGTGGATGGTTTTATGTCCCCAAACACTACAGCCTACCTGGCATTCTGTACTTTTCCTGGTTCCTTAGTCCAGTGCAACTGAACCCACCTTAGCATTAGGCTATTTGTAGACCCCAGTTTTTGGGGCAATTTGGCCAGTTCCAAATTAGATTTGAGGTGTACTTGAAGCTTGATAACTTCAATATTATATTTACACCACTGGCTGAAGCCTCATTGCCTTAAATTCCCTCATGACCTGGAACCTACTTAGCATTAGACTACTTATAGATCCCAGGTATTTTCGGTTATTTAGGTTGTTACAGACTAATTTGGAGTTGATCTTGTAGTGTATCTTGACTATTTCATGTTTTGTGTTTATTATTTATTTCATGTGCACATGTTTCTATAGCTAACAGTTTTAATTGATGGATGATTGTGGTGGGGCAGAGGGCCATGTGGTGTTTATAGTTATGCCTCTACCCGTACCATTTCTTATCTTGGAATCATCTATAAACCACTGAACTTTTGTTTTTATTTCCTATTTGCTCTCTTCGCAATAATTATGTTGAATGGTCTGTCAAAGTCTAGTATTTTTTCTGACAAGTCATGTCAATTATTTCAATTATTTTTCTTTGTCGAAAAATTTTCAACTCATATTTGTCATGCTAGCGGTTCTGGGTTCGAATCCCAGCATAGCCCTAGGATTATTATTTGAGAATTAAAAATATATATATATANACTATATAGATAGATAGATAGCAAAGTGGTTCTGATCACTGATCCGTAACACCCAAAATGATAGTTTGGCATTAAGTCCTCCTTTGCAGTAAAACTTCCCTTTTTCTGATCAATTCTTTTAAAAATTTAAAAAATTAACTACTTTTTCTAATTTTTTTGATATTTTAAATTTTTCTCCACTTTTCAAAAGTTTTGTTGCATTAAGTGTACAATTTCTGGAGCAAACGGTATTGGAGAACTAGTCGAAATAGTCGAATACATCAAAACTCAAACTCGCAACTAACACCTCTACCAGTACCTACAAAACTAAAAAGCCAGATAAAACAAATATTTTTTTTCTCTCGATATTTTAGCTGTTTCACCAATTTTCCAAAGTTGTTTTGCTTTATGTGTACAATTTCTGGAGCGAACGGTGGCAGAGATTTAGCAGACATAGTCAAATATATCAAAACTAAGTCTCTAACTCGCAAAGCTGTTGTAGTGGAAAAATATTTTACAGCAATAATTTCGTTGTTTTTCAGAGGAGCGACAAATGACACTCCGAGCCGAATGCCTTTGATATGGAGAGGAGAAAGTCGCCCTGGAACCCCACCACCACCTCCAACTCAAGCACAACCACCTTCGACGAGAACCCGAGTGCCAGCTCTTCTCACACTAGCCATCCTCCTCGGCTACATCTGCCTGGGTGCCTGGTTATACGCAGCTTGGGAGAGGCGTACGTACCTTGAAGGGCTTTATTTCACCTTCACCGCTCTCACAACAATAGGCCTAAGTGACATGGTGCCCGGAAGGGGGATTAAAAGAATAGAAGGCCAGTTGCAGCTTCTGGCCTTCTGCCTATACATATTCTTCGGCCTCGTCCTAGTTGCAACGGCTTTCGCCCTCGTCCAGGAACAAGTAATCACAAAGACGAGGCAGATCGCCATTTCCCTCGGTGTCGTCAAAAGAGAAGAACTCCCCCTATGATACACCGCTCTTACGGCAGTCTAAAGTGTTACTTAAAACAATTGTCGTTCAAATAACATTTTCACCAATCAATGGAGTAATTTTACATTGCTTCCAAAGTTTCAGTAAAAAAGTGTCTTGGCAAGAATGTTTTTTTAAATAATACTGTTTTTGTGGATCAACTGAGGCTGTAAATTTAAATAAAAACAGTGAGTGGATTTAACATATCTTATTTATAATTTATAGGTGAAATAATGTAAATAATAATGTAAATATGTGTGTTGGAATGTTAAAGAGTATAAAATAACAATTTTTGTGAAACTTTTTTTAAGTTTACGTACTTCATATCTGAAAAATAAAAAGTTTTTAAAATAAAGTTAGTAATTAAAATATGTCTGTATAATATGTACTAGTAGGTTTGTATATGGTCGTAATGCCTATAGCACCGCCACTGGAAAGAAATATTTTCAATACTGTCCAAAACAAACTAGTAAACTCTGATTAAAGAACCCTCATCAGAAATGACAAACACATTGCTAAAGTAAGACATAGTAAAATTTAGTGGAGAGATACAGCTACCAGTCACTGGCATCTGTCAAAACACCTACATGGGTATGTTGAATGACGACCCTATTTGTACGTTCTGCAATGAGAGGGAAGAAACTGCCACCCATCTCCAAATGCATAGACATAACCTAGAGTATAGACGTATCGAGAAGCAGCAATGATGACCAATGACCTATTACTTCTTAAGAGATGCATCAAGTCAATTGAACTGATCTAAGAAACTAGTTAAAGTATAAGCCAAAAATCTACAGTGCTTTGGGAATACCAAACCCCCTCTTCCTGGAATCCTTCTCATCACCCAAAGCTTTGAACTCAGGATAGCTACTGGAGCAGTCAAGTCCCATATGCAGAATACACGTCTATTCTGGAAAACGTCCCTTAAATTATATACCCGAACTATTGAACTTGTGATTTTTTCATAAAACTATCTCTTCCCCTTCAAATCTACCTATACAACAGCTGATCTACCAAAATTCCCATGCGGGTGTCCTTACTCAACTAAATACAGATTTATATTCCTCAAGAAGAAAGAAGCAGTTCTAACTATTCCACTGTAGTGCCTAGCAAAAAGTTGTTCTCGCTCTACCTAGACCCAATAAAGCCACTACCCCTGAATATGTATGACTCGTAGACATGAGTTTTTTAATATCAATAGTGGACTCTGTTTGGCTGCTTATGTTTATACAGATAGCTCCAAAAATGTCAACTCAAGTAACTGCTGAAATAATATCAATGAGCAAAGGTTTAAATATAATCCACATAAATGAGGTAATGATGTTCTGATTCCATGTCTCATTGCTATCCGTTAAACACCGTTTTGCAAACAATCTAATAGTACAAAACACAATATTTTCTCTAATACGTCTACTATAAAAGAGAAAAAGTCCTTATTCTTTTGATTACAGGTCACTCCAATATAAAAGAAAACATTGCCAGCTACCAAAGAGCATGGCATTAAACAGAAATCCGACATTAGCAATTAGTCAGCAAGACCCCAGTTGCCTTTTTGAAAGCAGAAATATGGCAATAGTGGCAACAAAATTTGTGTTATGCCCCTCTACAAACTGGCCCACTATAGTGCTCAGAAAGATGACCATCAGTGGTGACCAGTCCCGGGTCATTTATGTCTATCCATGCACTGGTCAATGTTGGGTCATTGTGTGATACGATAGAATTTACTACTCATCTCATTTGCGCAGGGTGGGTACTTCGAATGAGAGAAAACTTTCCAATACCATCCTCCAAAACCATCACACCATCAGCCATGGTGGCTTGTAGTGGCCAACGATGGGCCATTGTGTAGAGACAATGTGTGTGTCCATTATGAGTATAAAATCAATCAAATTTTTTAACTCGTCACTAAGCAAGTCTTGGCCAATGAAAGACAACCAACAACTTCGTAAGCCTGATTTACTTAGAGTGTACAGGAGACAAAATCGAGCCAACAAGCGGTTGGCCTTAATCGTTTGGACTTCAGGCAGTAACTTCAAAAGATTTGACATTGGGTTGGCCCTAAATCCCCCTCACAGTGTAGACTGTAGACCAATCATTCATTGGTTCATTCTTCTTGTGCTGAAAATGCTGGAATGGAGTGGAATAACAAGATTGCAATAAAACTGATCAGATTTTATTGTGTACTGGAATGTTTATGGGACCCTACAAACTGTGAATATAAAAACAAATTGATAAAATTAGACACTTAGAGGGAAATGAGTTAGCTTTAGTGTGAGAAGGTAGTGGGAACAATATGAAAAAGAAATCTTTATTAACATCTTTGTTTCGATATTTTAAAGGTGTACATTCAACTGGCACATGAATCCCCAGTAGCTAATATATCAGTGACCATTAATCTTTCTTCAGGTACAGCTCTTCTAAAAGAGGTGTTTTCTTTGGAAAAATTGGGGCCTACATAATTCTATAAAAATAAAAAATCTGTAGCTTTCATTTGGAAAAAATTGTAAAATAGCCCACATTCAATGCAGCTTTTAGGTTATACATTAATTTTGCCCCACTAGACTGTTCCCTACTTTTGAAAAGAGGTCTGCCAGGGTAGTTTTTTCTTTTTTCTATCAGCTTTTTGCAGTAAAATAATTTAACACACATGCAACTACTGATAAATCCTCTTCTTCTGTCATAACTTCGGCCAGTTCAGTTTTAATTAAAGTGCCACAATATTACCTGTGAATGTATGATTAATAGACAAGTAATACAAAACGGTAGCAATTTTTATGAGTTTTTATAGCCAACTGTGATTCCTCATGGCTGAATCCCTTGGCCACAACCAATTGGTGGTTTGATGAGGGTGAGTCAAGGATGGCCAATATGTGAAGACCAACATTTAGCTGAGATTTATGTGTACCTTATAGGAAAGGTAGAATTGAGAAGGTAATTTGCAGTTCTGGTACAAAGGGTGAGAGCCCGCTCATGCTTTTTTTTTCATTTGTCTATCCATAAATTGAAAAGAGGTGAAAATTTCCTTAAGCAGGTGCTTATTGTTGAGCCATAGGTCTGGGGACACATAGCCTAAACTGCTGAGTGTAACAGGTGCGTCTCATAGATTCACAACTTTTAAGAAATGACAATCTTATACAAAATGGCCGGAAGAAGCTTGAGGCTAGGATGATCTAAAAATACTGTCTGAGATTTATGTGGGTGTCTGACTAGTGTGAAACAAATAGTTGTGGCAAGGCTAGTTATGAAACACCTGTAGTGTTCAGGGTTGATTAAATTTAGTTTTTCTTTAAAAATGAATTTATACCGTGATAGAATTTGTGTAGAATAAGGTGAAAAATCTAGAAAAAGCAGAGGAAGAAGAATTGAATCAGGTGCATCGGTGGCCGCAGTGGTTTAGGTGTTGACACAGTATTCATCACTCTAAGGTAAAGGTCACGGTTGGGTTCGAACCTGACATACTTACAAATGGACTTTTTTTCAAAAACATTGGCATCTTGAGAGTTGTAGAACATCCTAATTGAAATACCTTCATAATAAATAAATAAATAAATTTTTTTTGAAAAAATTGCATCAATGTGAATTCATTCCTTTTCCAAAGTCTATAATCATCACACAAACTAAGGTCTATAATAAATAACTAAATCTAAATAAAAGTCATTAATCAATTTTATTTACATTTTTGATCACAAAATTTAGCAATTATTCCTTTTAAATATATGATTCAATACATATACAACATTCTCATCATTGCTAGTATAAAAAAAATTCAGTAAAATAAAGCCGCGTTTGTCCAGTTTTTACACTTTCTTCACAATCTGAACGACGTCTTCATCGTTGAGGACATGGTCTTTGCCGACTTTTTGAGGTTGGTGCTTGACGGATGAGCCCCATACAAGTGCGCTGTAAACAAATCAAGTTATAGATCTCAGTTTGAATGTTCAAGTCATACACTTACTATTTAAACTCCTTGGCAATTGTACGATGGAGCTTGTTGCAAAAGTCCTCTACACTCCTCCTCTCGGAATGTAAGACTACGGGTGAGTTATAATCAGGAAGCTGCCCCTTGGGTTTTGTGTAGCTGAATAATTTTCAAATTATATAACGATATTTTTTTAACTAACACAACCAACTCACATTCTGGTAAGCTTGAGGTATTCCCACATTTTTTCGAGTAAATCATCAAAGTTCCATTTGTGATGTGCAGAAATGGGCACACAGTGGGGAATTTTGTAAATAATGTCTAATTCCTCAATACTAATTTGATCTGAAATTTCATATTATTTTTCGTTCGTCCGTAGTTGTAATTTTTCTATTTTATTGGCCAAACTTCTCACCTATTTTGTTTAATAGATAAATGCAAGGTACATAAATTCTATTTCCTTCTATTACATCAATAAGATCATCGCTGGTGGCATCGTATCGCAAAGTGATGTCAGCATTATGGATCCTATACTCGGCTAATATACTCTTGACCGTGTCCAAATCAAGCTCCGATTGTTGGACCTAAATATTTTTTTTTTTAAACTGTAATAAATTTATAAAATTTGAGATACAAAAACAGACCATTGTCTGCAAGTTTATCCCTCCTTTATCTTTCTTCCTGAACACAATGTTAGGCGGATCCTTATTCAATCTCAACCCGAAACCCTCGAGCTCATGCTCGATGAGTTTTTTGTGTTGAAGTGGTTTGAGGACATCGAGGACGATGAATATTAGAGAGCAAGTTCTAGCAACGGCAATAACCTGCCTACCTCTACCCTTGCCATCTTTAGCACCTTCAATAATACCAGGCAAGTCTAAAAGCTTAAGAAAAACAAAAATTAATAGCTCAATAATAGAAGAAAAGTTCATATACAACAGCAAACAAGAAAAGAAGGAAAGGGATATACACATAATATTAACAAACCTGAATTTTAGCTCCTTTGTACTTAATGCAACCAGGGACGGTGGTCAGAGTTGTAAATTCGTAAGCGGCAACTTCAGAATAAACACCGGCTAGGGTCGTCAAGAGAGTAGACTTGCCGACAGATGGAAATCCTGATAAACCAGATCTTGAACAAATTGATTTCTTTGTTTGGATCAGTGTTCATTTCTTACCGACAAAGCCTATTCTGGCATCTCCGGTTTTGGCGACGTCGAAACCATCTCCTGGGCCACCACCACCTCCTTTCGGGGTGATGAGTTCTCTTCTCAATTTAGCCAGGCGAGCCTTGAGCAAACCGAGATGGCCAGCTGTGGCCTTGTTCTTTTGCGTCCTGGCCATCTACAATTGTAAAATTGTACTTATAAATGAAAAATGGATTCACACAACTCTAACCTTCCTTAATTTTTTGATATACCAAGTGTCTGTACAATGTCATGTCACGTTGAGTACATGTGATTGGAAACAAAAGTTGGCTTTGGTCTGTACACACCCATATATCGCTCTGATAAACATATCCAGCTGCTATCATATGTGTTGAAACTGCTCAGAGATGTTTCGTATTCTTGAGAGTTATTTTTGACAATCTGAATTTGGTAATAAACAGCAGGACGACGACAACCAAAGTGCTTTGCATCAACCAAATCAAAATACGATTTGTGAACCAAACAAACTACAGACAATCCTTTCTCTTAAAGCATCACCATACATAACATAAACTTTCCTAACAGCCTGAGCTGCGGTTTTCACTTTGCAGTAATTAAAAAAACCATTAAATGACTATGTAATATTTTTCCTCCACTATAATTAGCTGTTCTCAAAAATAAAACAGAATACAGAATTTGAATCTTTAGATACAGGTCATGCGCATGCATGCTTCCTCTAGCAGCATAAACAAAATGGGATGAAAAACTATTCATACACTTGGTTTTTTGACATTTTCTTCTTTAATTTTATTTTCTAATTAAAATCTTCTTTAGACTATAAACTTGATGATTCAACAATACATTTTGTTATAAAAAAATAATTTTTTGAACAAAAAATTATTCGTACACATACAATACTACAAAAAATTAACAATTCACTCTTTTTGACATTTTTAAAATACACCGGTGGACAAAATTAACACACTACCCTTAAATTTTAATGTATTTAGGCTTATTCATATTTTGCATGGCAAAAATAGATTTGGTTGTAAAAATAAGACATTTAAAAACAAAATGTTTACTACTTATTCTTAAAAAAAAAAAAATAGTAAGTAATGTGTGGTGTTTAGTGACCATTAGCCAATGATTAGCCACATCCTACATGTTTTTGTTAAATTTAAACAATGTTTGTAAATCCCAGGCCCTGAAGATGATCTCAATAAAGATCGAAACGTTGGCACAATAAAGAAAATGTTTTTCTGAAACCTACATCACACCAGACTGCATCTCACGATTTCTGAATAATTTAAACAAAGTTTATAAATCCCAGGCCCTGAATATGATCTCAATAAAGATTGAAACATTGGCATGATAAAGAAAATGTTTTTATAATACTTATGTCACACCAGACCGCACCCCACGATCTCCAAATAATTATTGAGTAAAAACAAAACAAAACAAAAAATTTAAAAAAAATAAAAATGTAAAAAAAAACTTTTGTCTCCTTTAATACTTATAATAATTTTCAACTCTGGCATGAATCACGTCAGTTAAATGCCATTGCATTCCTTGGAAAAGATTTCTGGTAAAACCTTGAGCAAGGTCTTTCCCATTCATCAAGAACAGCAGTTTCCAACTCTTCGAGGGAGTTAGGACCTGGGTTTCGCTGTCATATTCATGACGTTAGAAATCTTCCTCGCACAACAACTGATTTAGTTTGGGTTGCCACCCTAGAACATCAATGACCCTCCATACAATAATACCTGATGAAGCAAACAGCATGGGGCGTACGTTTCTTCTGAGCATCTCCATATAAAACTACACCCATCTGAAGATTTGAGGCCAATTCTCACCTCATCTGTAAAGAGAACTCATCCCCAATGTCCAATTCACATGTTCCCGTGCGAATTGAATCCTAGCCATTTTTTGAGAATTCTATCATTATATAAATTCATTTTTTTATCTAAAATTTTCTAGCATTGTATAAATTGATATGTTTTCACATCCTAAATGTATTTAAAATTTTGTTTAAAGTTTAAAAAGTTAAATGTAAACAATGTTTGTAAATCCCCAGCCCTGAAGATGATCTCAATAAAGATTGAAACGTTGGCACGATAAAGAAAATGTTTTTCTGAAACCTACATCACACCAGACTGCATCTCACGATTTCTGAATAATTATCAATTACGGTCACTAATCACCACACATTGTTTAAATTTTACAAATTCATGTAGGATGTGAAAAAAATGAATTTATACAATGCTAGAATTCATTTTTTTAAATCTAAAATTTTCTAGTAGTGTATAAATTTATTTTTTTTTTAATCTAAAATTTTCTAGCATTGTATAAATTCATTTTTTTCACATCCTACATATATTTGTAAAATTTAAATTGTATTACACCAGTCTACACCAGTCCACCAGCGGCATGGGACCCCCCCACAACTTTTGATTTTCCTTTCAACCTACCTCTAATCTGGTAGAGAAACTGGTACAAATAGGGATGATTTGGAAATCATAAGTCAGTCTAGACCAAGGGCTCAAACCAGTGAGTCAAAGACTCACCTCAGACAGGTGAGAAAGACCTCAGAGAAGTAGCCAAGCTCCATTTGGGACTCAGCCAGCCAGAGCCAACGAGTACCAGCCACTCTTCAGTACTAGACGGTCCACATACGAGGGAGGCACTGAGGATGGTGAGGGTACTGATTGCGGCAGGTGTCATTTGGGGTCCCTTTGTTAATAGATTCATCCCAAATTTAGAGTTGTGGCTTACTTGTTAGATTAATTAAGATTCTGTTTGGTTGTGTACATTTAAAAGTCGGAATTGTGTTGAAATAAATGTTTAAGAATAGACTCTCTGGTTTATTGAATTTTATTGAACTAGAACCTTCCCCTACACAAGAATAAGTAGCAAAGCGCTTACTATCAACTACTCTCTTATCGCTTAGAGAAAAGCAAATAAATACAGATTGTTCGGCCGTCGCACTATTACACCGCTTACAATATTTTTATGTAATTCTTTTGTTATATTATTTATATTATTTTAAAATAAGTAATATTAATTTACCATGACAATTTAAAAATTTAAAATGACCCATTTATGCTTAATGGTCTAATTGACCAAATTACTTATTTCATTAATTATACTTTTTATGTAAGGTATTGGTTGAAATGAAAAAGTCGATGTCAAGAGCAGGATTCAAACCCACGACCTTCAGCTCAATACATCGCTGCTCTAACCACTTGAGCTATCGTGACTTTGATCCACTCGGACACCAACTCCCCATCTGACCTACAGCCGTTAGGATTTTCCCTCCTTTTTGCCATTTTTCAAATGTCGTGTAATCTATTTGATTCTCAGCGACTTTTGAAATGGCCATGAGGGCCTGTGAAGTGATATTTCTTTACTTATTAAATATTAATCCTTTTACGGTTAGTGGTCTAATTGTCCAAATTACATATTTCAATTAATTACACCTTTTATGTAAGGTCTTGGTTGAGATGAAAAGTGATGGTTAGACCAGTGGCGTATTGAGCCCAAGGTAGTGGGTTCGAATCCCGCTCGTGACACTAACTTTTTCATCTCAATCAAAACCTTGCATAGAGCATAATTAATTTGAAATTTACAACAACAATGATAAATATGATCTTTTTAGGTATATTTATATAAAACATTTTCTTAAGCTATATTCTTCTCTTTTTTTTTCTTTTGCTTTATCTGGGATATTAAGCCAGACCTGCTTTACATATTGTTTTATACGCAAGAAATTTTTTCCTTTCTTTTCTTAGTTTTGCTTTTATAACATTGTATGTTATATATTGTATACTTCTATATTTAATCATTTTTTAAATTGGATTAATTCCGTAAAATATATTAATAATAACAATAATAAAATAGAAAATGAAAAGCGGTTTTCACCTCGCCTTCGATGGCCGCGATTTTGTCGACGATGGTCGCCATCGCAGGAGGCTCTGCAGTACTTAAGACAAGCGCTGGAATGTGGACGGCGGCGGCAGATGATGGAAATGTGGAAAACTTAAAGGATCACGGATGCCAGAAGCACGCCACGAAATGTGACCAGAAGCACTGTTGCCATAACCTGCCCGGCCCGGCCGCGGTGTCCGCCTGTCCTCTTGAACGCCAACTCAACAATGCTGATGTCGTTAATTACGACATCAATCGGGAATTTAGGCATGGTTAAATGGTGAAAAATAGCTGACCATGATGATCAGAGATGTCCAAGTTACTTATAGACATAAATTGCAATAATTATATAAACAATACTCCTTTTACAATACAACATTGGTTGAATTAAAGTTCATAATAAATAAAGTTACAAAAAAAGTTCATGTTATGACCAGATAACCCTAATTTTTCAATTCGACTTTTTTTAAAGGTTCCTTCATTACTAGATACAAAAAATCTTTATTAAGGGAATTTGAAATTTTTCCTAATGCTATTAAACAATCTTATGCTGTGCTTCCGATCTTAACTCATCATTTTTTCCATTCCTGTTACCTTAAAATACATAACCCACATTTTGAACTTCTCTCCCATCTCATCTTGATTTTCTTCAGCCTGGAAGGAAGCTCTAATGCTTACTTTTCTCAATATTCTTGCTGGTGCCCTATTAATTATTACTTATTATTACTAGCCCTGTTATTATTACTAGTTATCACTGTCTAAAACATTTTATAAGATTTTATTTAAACTAACGTAACTAAATCCTTATTGATTGACTCCCATACCCTGATATCTTCTTTTCAAATCTACCTTCCAAAAAGTGGTGTAAGACAATCTCAATTTCAGCTGGTGTACCCTAAAGCTCTATTCTTGGACCTTTACTCTTTTCCATGTTCCTAAATGATTTAATGATATATTATTAATTTCCTTACCTGATATTATTAAGGAAGGTGAATATTACCTAAATGATTTTTAAGGTTTCCATCTGATATTTATGATATTTATGTCAGACAAAAATTGTTGCTACTGTAAACTGTGAAGAATTTATGTCAGAGGTATATATTGTATTTCAACCACTAGCTATTTTTCGACACGTTTATACCAATAGAAGTAAACACTGGTTTGTTGCAAGTTCAAACTTGTTGCAAAAGTTGGCCATTTGTCTACTTTTCTGCGATTGCAAGTGTCATGTAAACATGAGTTACATAAAAAAGAGTTGTTTAAATTAAAAAAAGGTAAAATTAAAATTTTTATTTAATAATAGTACCTACTTACCAGGTGCCAAAAATTGCACAGCTACAGCAGTCATTCTGCTAAATTAATAGCTTTTCTGAATTTGGTGTCTCGCTTTGGGGGACCAATTTTACAAGCAAGCTTTTCGATTTGAAAATTTGAAAACTGAGTTAGGTCCTCAATACTGAGCTCAGACATAATTCATTGTAGAACCGACTCTCGAACCCATGCATAACGTTTTTTCTTTCTTTTCATCTTTAGAATAATTACTCAGAACACTACATATCCGAGTACACAGGACAAGTGTACACGAAAATATATGTTGCGTAAACAGATTGTATAGTTATTACAAGTTTCACATTTTGAAAACTGTCAGATTCATATCCATGACATAAAATTCTATGTTTAATTTCTATCAGTATGTAAAAGTCAAAAAGATTTTCTGCCCAACACTACATATTTCCAGAAAAAGTGACAGATGTATATGTACCTTTATTTTTTAATTTTTCCCGATTTCATTGCTGATGATATTCAGCTTTACATCCAATGTCCTACGAGCAACATTTCTTCATTTTCCCAATCAATTGTCAAATATATATATATNTATATATATATATATATAAACAAATTATGGATAATAATTTAAATTCACTAATTTCGTGGTCCGCTTGACCAATTAATTAAGGTTTTTTTCTCTCATACAAATTGCCAAAGCTCCTTACTACATCATTATCCCATTATCCTCACTATTCACAGCAACCTCAGTCTTTCTGAACTGTTCCAACCTTCTTCCAAAAATTCACTAATTTCGTGGTCCGCTTGACCAATTACCAATTGAAAAATGGCAAAAAGGAGGGAAAATTCAAAAGGAGCGGTTGAGATGGGAAGTTTGTGTCCGAGTGGATCGAAGTCACGATAACTCAAGTGGTAGAGCAGCGGCGTATCTAGCCGAAGATCGTGGGTTCGAATCCCGCGCGTGCCATTGACTTTTTTATCTCAACTAAAAAAACCTTAATTAATTGTAATATATATATAGCATTTAGATTTAATTTATTTTGTAATTACAACCTTATTTAGACTATAATATTTTACAATTCAACAATACGTTACATGTAATTGTTGTATGCAGTATGCAGAAACACATAGCTAATTTGTAAACATTTTAGCTTTTTCATAAAAAAAATTGTCCCTATGAGATCTAATATCAAAATACAAACTTTGAAAGAATTCAACTAATGGTGTGAACTATTTCATTGTCTCATAAAATGATGTCATTGTGATGACGTTACATCAAATCTTCTAAGTCTCCAGAAAAACTTTTGTCTCTAAGCTTGGATATGTCTATCTATCTATAACCATAACATAAATTGTTATTTCTTTGTGTTTTTCTTTGTAAGTGTTGATCATGTGCTCAACATGAAAATTTGCATAGTGTGCTCAAAAGAGGATTCTTTGTATAAATGCCCAAAGTGTCTGTCTCCATAGTAAGTATACTTATGTTTAACTATAATAATATAATATAAATTATATTGCCAAATTTAATTTTTTTTTTTTTCAGTTGTACATCATGTTGTTTTAAGAAGCACAAGTCGGATGGCTGTGAGGAAGCAAAGAAGATCGTTTGTCCAGAACCACCCAGAAAAAAGTACAAACACTTCACAGAAGACACAGTACCGATTGAAAAACTCGAACTACTGAGTAAGATTTTACCAACTATTTTCCGATAAACGGCTAAACTTGTTTTTACTTGCGCAGAAACCAACAAGAAACTCCTGGAGATATTGGAAAACCATCATCTTAGGCGTATAATGGAAGATATCGACAACGCGAGGAGTACAGAGGACAGCAAGCGTCTCATACAAGACGCAATGGTCGAACCGATTTTCGTCGAGTTCGCCGATGAATGCCTACGAGTCGTCGAGGATGTATGATTTCCCAACACTGAAAGTCTTAAAGTGTGTGATTGTAATTAAGTTTATATATAACTGTGATCATTAGAATTGTATTTGACAAACTTTTTCTGTACAAATAAATGTTTCTTAAATGTCTTCTTTTCATAGATTTGAGCAATGATATCTTAGAAAAAGGGCAGTTTGTGTAAAGGGAAAACGCACTCTGAAATTTAGATATAAAAAATACTTTTTTGCTTTTTTATTCCTTCCAAAATATAAAACATTCAATAAACAAAATAAGCAGAGACCCCACAGCTAATTTTTTATTCATTGTATTAAAAAAAGTATATCCTTAAGGGATGAAATGTCTAAATTTGCTGAATTTCTAAGAAAAATTTGGAATGGAAAAAATATACCTTGAATAATGTGAAACTCCTCCATTGATGGACAAAATAAACGCACTTCCCTAAATTTGAATGAATATAGGTTTATTCATATTTTGCTTACCAAAAGTAGGTCTGGTTGTAAAAATAAGACTTATAAAAAGAAAATGTTTATTAATTAATTCTAAAAAAAGTGGAAAGAACAACAAAAAAGTAAAAAAAAACTTTTTTGTCCCCTTTAATATCGAGTATTTCCACCTCTAGCGCGAAACTGACAATAGTTAACCTATTATTCCTATAGGATGAAATGTCTAAATTTGCTTAATTAAAAAAATAAAAATAAAAATTGGAATGGAAAAATTATACCTTGGATAATGTGAAACTACACAGATATACATAATAAAAGTACAACCTAAATTTGAATGTATTTAGGTTTATTCATATTTTGCGTACCAAAAATAGGTTTGGTTGTAAAAATAAGACATTTAAAAAGAAAATGTTTATTAATTAATTTTGAAAAAATGAGGAAAGGAACAAAAAAGTAAAAAAAAACTTTTTTGTCCCTTTTAATACCGAGTATTTCTACCTCTGGCACGAAACTGACAATAGTTAACCTATTATTCATATGGGATGAAATTTCTAAATTTGCTTAATTTCCAAAAAATGGAATGGATAAATTACCTTGAATAATGTGAAACTACACTGATGAACAAAATAAACGAATCACCCTAAATTTGAATGGATTTAAGTTTATTTATATTTTGCATACCAAAAATAGGTCTGATTGTAAAAATAAGACATTTAAAAAAAAGTTTATTAATTAATTTTGAAAAAAAGAGGAAAAAACAAAAACATCAAAAAGTAAAAAAAAATTTTTTGTCTTTTAATACCAAGTATTTCCACCTCTGGCAACGAAACTGACAATAGTTAACCTATTATTTCTATGAGATGAAATGTCTAAATTTGCTTAATTAAAAAAAAAAAAAATTGGAATGGAAAAATATATTTTGAAAGATGTGAAACTACTTTCTTGGACAAAATAAATGCACCATCCCCCATACTTGAGTTTTCAAAGAGGATTATACCTACATACAGTCGACTCTTGATAATTCAAAGCCCAAGGGACCATAAAATAAATTTAAAAAAGTGGAAATAGATCAACTGGTGAAATGAACATTGTTATGCACAATTTAAAAAAAAAATCATGAAGCTGTTTTGTTTCAATGTGGCTTGACATCCTTTTGTCAAAATGATTTTCCAAAGTGGTCAGTGCTCAGAACACATTGAGAAAACACTGAACTCTGAACATAACATTCGAAGTAACTTTAGGCTGCATGGAAGTAAACAATACCTGGAAATTTAGAGTAACTTTACATGTGAAAATTGGAATTATAGAGAGGACATGGCTCCATTTTGATTTACAAAATACTCTTTCACCCTGTTATGAAAACTATTTCATATTAATCAAAATACACAGATTTTTTTTCTATTTATCAAAGGGATCTGCTGTGGAGATCATGTTATCAATAAAATTCGAATTACCAAGAGTCAACTATACTTAGTTTCTTCAAAGGCTTTGTCTTTTAGGTTGGGTGCTTTTCGATTTAGCTAGGTCCTATCAACCCCTGGAGTGTCGGTGCTTTTGAAAAAGTGCCCATTTGTATGTTAAGTTCGAATTCAGGGCTGCCGGATTCAAGCACAGCACCCTTACCTTAAAATGATAAGCCTTAATCTTTGCAGCCACCATATTTTTCTTGTAGAGGATATTAGAAATATATGTTGTTCTTAAAACTACAATATGATGTTCAGAAAATAGAAATGACTATTTAAAAATGAGTACACAAAAAGAATTTTTTCCCGCTAGAAAGACATATTTTTAGAGCCCTTTGGTAGAATGTTTTTTCTACTCAATAAAAGGTCGCAGCCAAGACGGGCCTAGACCTGCCATTGAAAATTAAATGTTTTTCCATTTGGTGATTCAAATTTAATTAACTATAATAACATGAGAGTGAAGTGAAAAAAGGATGAATTCAGTGAAAATAGGTTTAAGAATAAAATAACTCTCTTCATAAAACAATACATTCAAATTTAATATTTACAAATACAATAATATACAATTAAAACAGTGTTCACTTAAAAAAAAATTAATTAAAACTAAATAAACTGATTTGTCTCATTCCCTTCAGCTTTTTGATTGATCGGTCAGACGACCTGACCATGAAGTTCTTTCCAAGGAAACTCAACTCGTAGTCCCCGAGTCTCAGTTTGAACTCGCAGGACATTTTCGGAATGTCTGAAATTAAACAATATAAATTAAAGTCAGTTTTATACAAATAACAACCTATAAAATATAATTTGTTGGGTTCATGATAAAATATAGTTACTTCTTAAAATGTTGTCCTTTCCGAGTAATTTGAGCATGTTTCTTGTTTCGAAGACAAGAATACCCTCGACACCGACGAGGGACGGGCATGTTGATTTGGAAACTTTGATGTACGCTCCATGATAATCGGCCTTCCACAGCTGCTGCATTGTTTCGTCATAGTTTGGACTCGTAACATCGCCAAACGTGCTGGACACATTTATGAATTGAATAAATTCGAAATTAAATGGATAATTTTGTTTATTTACTTGCTGTCCTTAAGGTGCCTCAGGCCTAAATAGTTTTCCATGTAACTATTCCACATATTGTGCAGAGGGATCAGGTCTTCGTATAAAAGCCCCGTTCTGCTTAAATTGTACAGACCTATCGCTTTCTTCTGAGTATTGCTCAAGCCAGAACTCTTAGCACAACCACGTCTGTGAATACGCTTCTTGAAAACCTGTTGTGCTTTTGAAAGTGGAAAACGCTGCAAAGAAAAAACAAAAAAAGATACATTTACTATTAATACGATTCAAACTATTGAAACATCAAAGTAAAGAAAACCATTTTTTGCAATTTTAACATGACAAAAACCTTATTGTCAACACTGTATCAGGTTGTAAAAAAATAAATCTGTAGCATTTTTGAAATGGTAACTTAATGAAAATTTCTAGTTCTTAAATAAATTTCATTTTATAATTCCGTCCTCTCAGAACTCAGGTTTTTTGGACAAAGAACTTTTTGGTGTGTTTTCTGTAGTCCAGTGTAGTCTGCAATCTTTCACTATTATTAAGTTAAAATCTGAACGGGCAATGTCATGTGAATATGGTTGTTGAGGTTGCACACCTCAGCTCAGTTCCAACAGTTTCTGGAGCGTCTGCAAAGATATGGGGCGAATGTTATCCTGCTGTAAAACAGCCTTGCAATTAGCCAATGCCTGTCGTTTTGGTCAATTGCTGACTTTAATTAGGAGAATGCGGTAGCCAAGTGGTTAGCGTGATAGACCCTTGGCTCATAGATGTTGCCCCTGGTCATTTTTTTTTCAAGCAACCCCCTCTCCTCCCAAAAAAAGAAAGAAAAACATTGCATATATATATATATATCTCATCAAGTTTCTTGGCTAATATGCAAAGTTCATAAGACCACTAAAAAAAAAATTCCTACATTTGTGAGCTATATAGATTAGAATTAACGGTTTGGGAGGCCTTCTGAACCAAGCAAACCACTTACAGTACACTTTCTCTAAAAGCATCACCATATACATCATAAATTTTCCTAGCAGTCTGAGCTGCGGTTTTCTCTTTGCTGTAATAAAACCATTAAATGATGAACATGCACTTTGCACACCTTGTAAAAATACATGATCACAAATGAAACCGACAAATAAAATCATCTTAACCTTTTTGGACTGTGAAAAAAAAAATTAAACTGCCTCAAAACATGATGGTATAAAACCATATTAGCGGAAAACACTACAGACTTGTACAAAACAATACTTCATATGTTACCTTTCTGAGTTCTCCTTCCAATTTAAAGAGGTCTTTCTTGCTCAATTTGTTCTCGAAAAAAGGGCGAACAGATTCAAATTTGTCAATTCTGCCTTCCTTGTCATTATTGCTCTGTGTTGTCGAGCCCTTGACATTTGCCGGGGCCTGAGGTTTAGGTCCTTAACAAACCAGGTAAATTGTTAATTAAACCAATAAAAATGGTAAAAAAATAGTCTCTTTTGATTGATAACTCAAAATAATACAATGAAAATAAAAATATAATGAACAACATAATAAAAAAATAAAATAATGAACAATAGGACAAAATAAACCATTCCGAGCATTTAAATATAAGAAGATTCAATTTCAAGATATTTTCTTACTTTTCATCACGTTTGTCATTTTCTGATAAACTGATCAATACAATTCAAAGGAAAACTGTTATTTAACCATCCGACTGGAAAAAATGTTTGTAATGATTAGCTCTAATTTGGCCTGTTTTAATAAATAAATTGTGAATATAGCAATGATGGACAAATTTAATGCACCACTCAATTTATTTAGTTTATAATACATTATCTTTCTACACTAATTACAGGTAATTAGGAACTATCATAGTCCAAATAAACAATAAATAATGTTTTGTTTGTGTCATTCCTTTAATTTTGTACTGATTAATCTCATTTGCATAAAAAATAGTATTATGGCCTTCCAATCTGCTACGCTTAAATATAGCTTTCAGTTAATCTTTTTCCTTAATTGATTTTGTTAGATATTATGCTTATTACTAAACCTTTTTCAATGGCACCAGTCATGCATTTGAGTGAGTATGACAGTGGCAGGGTGATAAATTATTAGAGGTAGGATACAGCCAGTACGAAGTCGCCAGGAGACTAAATCACTCTATAATTAAATTTGACGCTTCACGCTTGAAGGCCAGGACAGGGTCAACCCAGGTCTATGAACTAGGGAGACTACATATATTTATCCGCCATCAGGATCTACGAACTGCAGCATTACGGGAAATCTGATGACAAATCCAAAATGTTTTGATTTCCTCCAGTACTGTAAGAAGAAGGCTAAATGAAAATAAATTCAGGGCCCGCCACCCAGTTGTGGACCTCTTCTTACCACAGCTCAGAAAATGATCAGGCTTCAATTCAGGGAATATGTGAATTGGACATTGGGCAATTGGGGATGAGTTCTCTTTACAGATGAGGTGAAAGTTGGCCTCAAATCTTCAGATGGGCGTAATTTTATATGGAGATGCTCAGGAGAAAGATACGCTTCATGCTGTATCCTTCCTCAGGTGTTATTCCATGGAGGGTCATTGATGTTCAGGGGTGGCATATCCTAGGACGCCCGAACCAAATTGGTTATTGTCTGAGGAAGATCTCTAACTTCACAGAAGTACTTACAAGACAACATTCGCCGAAAGCTTGGTGAAACACAATAGTGATGTTCTTTATTCACCTGTAATGACCTCAAGAAGATCCAATACAACATCAGTTTAAACTACGTAGGTCGATCAACGTCAACTATAATTGAACGATGTTATTTGGTTAATCGGACCACGAAATTTAATGAATTTCTTCTATGAATTGAAATGAAGTACAAACTATTCCAAAATGTTTTCTTACCTTTCATCGCAGTGTCTGACATTTTCTGCTAAACTGATCAACACAACTCAAAGGATCATAACAAAGTGAATTAGTGAAAGGAACGGAACGCCATAAGTTTGACCATTTGCATTTACAGTTAAGTTACCTTCTTCTTTATCCTTTTTTAGTCACGTGGTATACATTACTTTTACCTGCCAGAAATATATTTTTACTTAAAAAATAATAATAATGATAAATTTTCGTAGGCTTTTAATTATAAAAATGTTAATTTACGATTGAAAAATCTTAACGATTCAAAAATCTAAGATTCTTTAAATTTCCGAATCTTTTAAGTGATAAAACAACTTGGCGTGTCTATAACCGGGGAGGTTAAACGAGTGCTTCATCTCGCTACAGTGTTTATTTTATCCTTTAGTCCTCCCAGTCGGTTAATTCAAAATGCCATTTTGAACAGAGTTTTTACAAATTTTTACAACGAGGAGGAACTTTTCTTGCCAACGGATTAATTTTTAGATGGCTCCGAAAAACGAGGATGATGATCTGACAAGCGACGCCGACTCTGGTGAGTTCAACGGATTCAACAATTATTTTTGTCCTTATCCTTCATATACACAAATGGACAAAATAAACGCACTGCCCTTAAATTTAATGTATTTAGGTTTATTCATACTCTGACGGGCAAAAAATTCCACCCACTTGTAATATAATTTGACTTGTATATTTTTTTAATATATTAATCAGTTTCACGTTTTTTAACGTTTAATAATTGAGTCTTTGTCTAAAAAATAAAAAAGACGGGCAGATAAAATTTATTTTAATTAGATTTTCAATTAATACATCAATATCGCGTATTTCCTCCTCTTGCCTTAATTACATCTCGAAGACGCGTCAGCATATTTTCCACCAGCTGGATATGTATCTTTGCAGGAGTTTGGCCCATTCTTCACGAAGAGTCCGTCCAGGATGGTGGAGTGTATCAGGAAGTGATAGACGTGCTCTTATTCGTCTTTTGAGGCTATCCTGTAAATGCTCGATTGGGGTTCAAGTCTGGAGAATGGGCTGGCCAGGCAAGACCCTGATATTTTGCTGTTGAGTGTACGTTTGTACTATGTGAGCGATATGCAGATGGGCATTATTGTGTATTATTTAACGCGCGATGTTCCAAAATTTCATCCATATAGCAAGTGGACGTCAAAGACCCTCCACGAACAACAACCAACTCTGTGCGAGTCTCCATTGAAATTCCCGCCCACACCATCACTGGGCTACATTGAAAAGGTTGGCTCTCGGAAAAATTACTGGCTTTGTACTTTTCATTTTGCTCTTTCTACACTCTTTCACATCGAAACGAAGAGCAAATCTACACTCATCTGTAAAAAGTACAGCAGACCAATCGTCCAAAGACCAATGGCTGTGTTCTTGAGCAAATGGAAGCTGAGAAACTCCATGTGTTCTGGTCAATTCTGGTTCTTTTATGGGGCAAAAAGCCATCAATCCATACTTATTCAGTGTGTTCAGAAAATTGGACACCTCGAACTTCCTGGAGCTGATGAATCTCTTGAACACCAGAAAGGTGCCGGTTTCGCAAAATTCTCAAAGTAAAAAAACTGGACATCTTGTGGTACTGTTACCTTAGGGCGTCCAGCACCAGGCCTTCTATGGTAGGACCCAGTTTCTCGAAAATGTCTAACGGCGTCTCGCAGAGTTTTGTAGGGAACTCCGATGGCAATAGCCGCATACCCGATGGAACGTCCATCATCAGTAAGTGCCACACCACGCACAACATCCTCAGCATTAAGTTGCATTAAGTTGAAATTAAGAAAACAAAACTGAAAACTAAACAGTTTATTGCGTCAGGTTAGAAATTAAACTAAATAAATATTTAAATTCCGTAAAAAAGTAAACATTAAAAAATCCTTTATCTTTGTTTTTGATTAAGGATTTAGTGTGTTTACGTCTAATTGAGAGTCCCAATTTAAAACATAGCATAAACAAATATTTATTGACAAAAACAATGAGACAATTAAGGGCAGAATTTCCTTTTATTGAGAAAATGAAAAAATCATTTGGGTGGAATTTTTTGCCTGTCAGTGTATTTTGCATACCGAAAATAGGTTTGGTTGGTCTCAAATGTGTACGCTTGGGTTCAAATCTGGACTTCGAGCTGGCCACATCAAGCACTCAGTTCCAACCTCATTCACTCATCATTGAAAGCTCGGCAAAAACTTAAAGAATTGTTCTGTTGTGACCTCACCGAAGATCCTTTTTCCATGTCGATATATAAAATATAGTATAAAATAGCCCATCTAAAGATTTGAGGACATCTCTCACCTCATCTGTAAAGTTAACTCGTCATAAATCAGTTATAAGTTAACTGTCAGTTTACTGGAACGGATTTAAGTAGGACAATGAATGGATGAACAGGAACTACAAGTTCTACCCTATAGGCTCCAAGAGAAAATCCCACAACTAACTTAATTGCTTAAAACAGCTTGAACACTTAACCAAGACTGGATTAAAGCTTAGTATCATCTTCATAAAAAGGAAAGGTGTTTACACTAAGATAAGAAGTTAGTAAGTGGAGAGATTTCCCACGTTCATACTGTAAAGTTGCATTACAGTTGAACCACAAGCCCAAATAAATAAGAATAATTTAAAATCATTAGTAAAATAATTAGTGTTTGTTGTTGTTATACACTTTATTGTCTCAGATCTGACAATTTACTTCGACTTTCTATGTACTTTTTGGTGTGCTTGAGTAGTTTTGTTATTGTGAGTGATTTTTTTTGCAAGTTTGTCAGCCATTTTATTTCTTTCAATTGCACGCACACACCTTAGTTTTCCCAGATCTAAGCTAAATTTATATAAATATATTATTTATGTTTTTATTTGACAGGAAGTGGCTCTGAATCAGACAGTGGAAGTGATTCTGACAAAAGTAGAAGCAGTAGCCCTCAAAGAACAGCTGCACCCGCTCAGCAAGCCTACAGCAGTGATAATGAAAAGGAACCTAACAGTCCTCAGAGCAACCGTTCAGGCAGCCATCCCGGGTCCAGATCTGTATCTAGGAGCCCTCGTCACTCTCGATCGAGGTCAGCCTCAGGAAGTCCGAGAAGATCTACATCCCCAGCTGATTCCAGGTCTCCATCTGGAAGTCCCAGGAGGTCTGCTAGCCCCACTGGCTCTGGCTCGGCCGCTTCACCCGGTTCTAGGAAATCCGTCAGCCCACGAGGATCAAGGTCTCGGTCTGTGAGTCAAGCAAAATCGGGAAGCCGGGGTGGTTCACGGTCTGGTTCGGGCAGCCCGGAAGGTTCCAGGGCTTCGAGGAGCAGGTCTAGGTCTGCATCAGGCAGTCCGAAACGATCTCCAAGCCCAGCAGGTTCGAGATCGGGGTCTGGAAGCCCTCGTAAATCTCGTTCGCCTGAATCGGTCAAATCCGGCAGCCCTAGGAGGTCGCCGAGCCAAGAGTCAGCAAGATCAAGGAGTTCCAGTAATGAAAAATCAAAGTCGGGTAGTCCAAAGTCTGGAAGCGAATCACCTAAAGGTTCGGTGAAATCACATAGGTCAAGGAGTGGATCTCGAAGTAGCAAAGGATCTCATCGGTCAGGAAGTTCGAGGAGTCGCAGTGGCAGTCCTTCTTCTCCAGCTGTCAATGGCGATAAAAGAAGAAGTAGGATTTTATTACTACCATACTTCAGTAGAAATATTTTTAAAGCTAATTTTTAAATATCAAAATTTTAAATTGTTAATATTTACTTTATTATGGAAATTTGCAAATGAAAAATATTAAATAATATTAAACTAGGTGAAGACGAAGAATCAGATGAAGGAAAGTCATCCAGTGCCCAGAAAAGAATCTTGTCGCATAGTGAAGATAGTGGCAGGTATTAAATTATAGTTGGTTTTTGTAAGATTAACATTAATTAATTTTATGTAACAGCAATGTCGATTCACCCAAAGCGAGGAAGAAGAAAACGAAAGCTATAAAATCAGGTAGTGAGGGGAGTGATGATGAAAATAAAGATTCAGGTAAAAATCAATTTTTAAATGTTTAAATCAAGGTCTCTCAATTTAATCTGTCTTATTTGCTATTTTTCAGCAACTGCTGAAGCACTTTTTGGTGATGCTGATGACATCAGTTCTGAAGATGAAGGGAAAAAAGGCAAAACTAGCGACGTTGAAGATATAAGGGATTCTGGAGATGAGAGGCGGGGAAGTGGAGACGAGGAAAAAAGAAGTGATGCCGAGGTAAGCACATTTTTTTATTAATTGATTGATAATTGTGAGTTGATTGATTATTTGGGTTTTTTAAATTTTTTAGGATAAAGAGGAAGAAGAAGAAAAAGAGGATGATCCGACACCAGAAACGAGGATTGATGTCGAAATACCAAGGATAATATGCGATATAGGCCGTGAACTCCATTTTGTCAAACTACCCAATTTTCTTTCTGTCGAGACGAGGCCCTTTGGGGCTGACACTTATGAAGATGAAATAGACGAAGAAGAGACTCTGGACGAGGAAGGGCGTGCTAGGTATAAAATAACATGTCTTTCTGTTTATTTTTCATCCTAATTGTTCTCTACACAATTGTGCTGTACCCAGGCTGAAGTTGAAAGTAGAAAATACGATCAGATGGAGGGAGAACTTGGACAAAGATGGTAACACAATTAAAGAAAGTAATGCCAGAATAGTCAAGTGGTCTGATGGCAGCATGTCTCTCCACCTTGGAGGGGAAATTTTCGATGTCTACAAACAGCCATTACAGGTAAAAAACTAAAACGGAAAAAAAATTTTCTGCTTTACGGAAAAACATTGAATCATGAATGCATGACCTAACCTAATCAGTCCCTAACTTAACCTAGTCAGTCCTTAACTCAACCTAACCCAACATAAGTCCCTAATTCTACCTAACCCCTGTCACTAACTCCACCTAACCTAACCTAACCTGTCCTTAACTCTATCTAACCTAACCTGTCACTAACTCCATCTAACCTAACCTAACCTTAACTCAACCTCACCTAACCTAATTATTCCCTAACTACCTAACCTAACCTGTCACTAACTCCAACTAACCTAACTGTCCTTAACTCTACTTAACCTAACTTGTCACTAACTCACCTAACCTAACCTTTCCTTAACTCAACCTCACCTAACCTAATTATTCCCTAACTCTACCTAATCTAGCCCAATCCATATGCTCTACCCTGTAACACGAAATGACCATACAAACAAATGAGTATCCATCCAAAAACATATACATGTTAAAAAGACAAAATGTAATTTTTGGTTCTTTTTAGGGAGATCATAATCACTTGTTCATCCGACAAGGTACAGGTTTGCAAGGCCAGGCTGTATTCAGAACCAAGCTTACTTTCAGGCCACACTCCACGGAATCTTTTACTCACAAAAAGATGACGCTATCACTTGCTGATAGATCACAAAAATCATCTGGTATCAAAGTCCTCTCTGAGGTCGGACCAGACCCTGACCAGCATAGGGATGTTATGATTAAGGTCAGTTTTTAGCAAAAGAGTGAAAAGTATGACTATGAAATTTATCATTAAATCGGTCAACAGAAAGAAGAAGAAAGACTTCGAGCGACTGTTAAAAGGGAAAGCAAGGCTAAAAGAACACGTGAAAGGGGGACTGGAAGACCTCTTAACACCTCATACCTTGAACCTGACAGGGAAGACGGCTCTGACGATGAAGGGGCTATTTCTCTCAATGCTATTAAAAATAAATACAATCAGAAAGGTACACTTTTTAACAAATCATCACAAATCAAGACTATATGTTTTTCCCTCTCTCTCTTTAGGTGATCATAAAAAACAAAACATTTACTCTTCTGATGATGAAGGATCAGACTTGGAAGCAAGAAGACCTCGGAGGATAGATAAAATAAGAGCATTGAAGGACTCAGATGATGAGGAAGAAGACAATGAAAATGCAAGTGCTGCTTCTGATGAATCTTAAGAATGAATGCTCAACTTTAAAACAGACTAGTTTGTTGTACAGTTTTTATTTCAAGATTATTGTGTTTTTTATATTAAAAACAAATAAATAATTATTTTTATTGATTTCTTAATCATGTTCATACACCTTCGGCCTTACAGTAAAAGAAATTTCCTTCTATCATTAATCAGACTTGTATTTTATGTATATTATTTATATTTAGAATTATTTATATTTGAACTTGTAATGTCTATTTTAAATAAAATGATAAAGTGGATCTCCAGTTTGGTGGATGGGTTTACCTGGAAAATGGATTTTTCATTTTTTTTTACATCAAATTAAAACTAAAGTGATTTTTGTGGCTTGATATGTACTTATAAAAAAAGACTAAATAAAAATAGCAAGCTGGGCCAGACACATCCCTTAAGGTGGCGAAATTCATATAACAGATATATGATCAGAAATGACTAAAATTTTGTAAATGTTTTACATTAAAAATTTTTATAAGGGTATTGGTGGCCGCAATGGTGAACCGTATTAGGACAGTAATTATTTGGCCATTTCTTATTATCCTGGTCTGCTCATTCTCACTGTTTCGTCATCTTAAGTGGTGAATTAGTACAAGAATCTTTCATAAAAAATAAATATTTTAAAATATCTAACATTTTGACCAAAATTACTTAAAATCAACAATAATCAAAAAAGATACATAAACTCATGCAAAAACTTTAAATTGAGAGATTTCCTCTGGAGGTTTGCCGGGTGGTAAACCTTATTTGGTTGTTTCCCAGTTTCTATTTATTTCCAAACTAGTTTTTGTGACAAAATAAAAAATAAGTTTTAGTTTTGGTAGAATAATTAATCGGTTGTTAGGGTAAGGGCAGGGAGAGACCAGCGATCGACCCACTATGGAAGATGATACAAAGACAAAAGTTGACACACCAAAACAAGGATGGGCAGTTCCAATTTGCCAAATAAAATTCAACTTGTTAACAATTAACAAAATTTTAACTGGTTCGACAAAAGTTTCTACCAGATAATAAAGGAATTTCAGGCAAATGTTTATCCTAAATACATCATCATTGGTAATATTTTTATGATCATTAATGTAATACAGCTGCAAAACATCAACAGAAAAGGTAGAATTCTTTATAGACCTGTCATGACAGCAAAAGTCCACCTTTCGGAATCAATATAGGTGTAAAGCAAGGCACCGTGATCAGTCTCTTTCTATTAATGTTATTTTTAAATGGTTTGGAAGACTTCCTGAAGGGATTCAGATTGGATATGTTCATACTAAATTTCTATCGTATGTCGATGACTTGGTAATTCTAGCCTACTGTCTTGAAAACTATAATTGTAATTGAATTGTAAGAATGTAATTTTAAAATTAAACTGAAATAAACCTAATGTTATGATTTTATGCAAGGGAAGGAGGTCTGCAAGGTTAAAAAGTGATGATCACAGATGGCTCCCCAGGCAATGCAGCTTTCTGGCTTATTGTACCTTCCTAGTTTCCTAGTTCAGTACAATTGACTTAATCCTTCTTCTCCATAAAATAAGGTCATTTACTCGCTTCTACAATTTCATCCATTTTTTTGCTTTGTATTCCAGGTTATGTCTCCATTGAGTGGTTGCTTTGCATATGAAGATGATTTACAGGTGGCTGTTTCTTCCCCCTCATTGCATAACCTAGGGTTGAATATGCCCATGTTATCTAGATGTTTGTTCAGATGCTAGTGACTGGTTAATAGTCCTATCACTCTTCTGAGCCTGACTATCCCAAGTATAGGTTCAGGGCATATATCCTCTGGCTGGTATGCCTGCTTTTTCTTTACCCAAAATTACTTTGTGCCCTGCACCCAAGATATCAGGATTTGGAGATTTTGGGTTTATTCACCGACTAGTTTTGTTGTGATTTTTTTACATGCTAATGCTTCTCAATAGCTGCTTGGCAATCTTATAAGGATTTTTTTTACCAGCGTAACACCTTTTTACATTTTCTAGGGCACAAGCATTGATGGCATGTATTTCTGCTTTAAAGTCCGAAGTGTACTTCACTATGAGTTTGAGTGCTCATATTTTGGGCTTGTACAAAGAACACCCAATCCAGTTCCTTGGTTTGTTTTAGAGCTTCTTTTTACAATATCATTGTATCTGACGCTCTACTGAGTTCTTCCTCTCCTCAGCAGAGGCACAGAGCATTCCTTCACATGGGAAACATGGGATTTTATGAAGGTTAAGGCTTCATTAATGGCAATACTAAACAAGATCGCGCTCAGAACACTGCCTTGTGGGAATCCTTCCTCTTGTGACTTTCTCAGGATGCAGATCCACAAAGTACTCTAAAGCTTCTATTATTGAAAAAAATTGTTTATAAAATTGAGAAAATTGCCATTTATTCTGAGCCATAAGAGGGAGTTCAAAATCAAGCTCCTCAACGTACGATCAAAAGGGTTCTAAAAAAAAATCGCCAGGAGTTTGTGTTTTTCATATGTGATTTGATATCTGCATTCCTGTTTAAATAAGTGGGACAATGATGTAACGTGCACCGTTCTACATCTCCGAAACACATTCACTTTTAAGCCCTTGGAATTAAATTATTTACGCAGCCGACCGGCTTTGAATTCGATTCGGTTTGCTAGTAAATAAACTAAAAAATGATGGTGTCAAACAACAAAACGCAACCGAGGTACAAAACCACAGAGAATAAGCAAACATGGAGATGCCACACTTTCTCCTGCGCGAAGAAAAAAAACAAAAACATATTTGCTGAAGATACTGCAAAGGTGTAAAATATAATTACGGAGACCGTTCTTTAAGTCCCACCCAATGACCAATTAGGTAAAAAAGCTCATGTCTTTGGTTTTTTAAACCTGAAAATTACGCAGCAAAGCAGTTTTAAAAGAAAAACCGCCTTATTTCGACGAAAAGAAATAAGATTAAAACATGTAAAATTTGCCAAATTAAAGAAGCATGTGGGCTTCACTCATCAAAAATTCAAACTTCTTAGTGGGGAATGTAACACTTCGAAGGCGTGGATGCTTTTAATCATCTAGGTACTTTCTAGAACTCAAAAGATGAGGTACACGATATAAGCAATAGGCTAGGAGCAGGAAATAGATGATTAGGAGCATCGAGCACATTCCGAAATAGACGATTCTGAGGCCAATAGTCAAATACGGATCGGAAACTGGACCCTCACCGAAGCAGAAGAAAAATAAATTGCCGGCTCTCAAATTTTTTAAAAAGTTTTATTTGTTTTTTAAGATGCCGAATGTCTGACAGACCGATGCGAGGTTAGCGATGGCAAACCAAGATTATTAAGGACCAAATTACTTTTTTTGTTGTTGCCGTAAAATTAATCTGTAAAATTGTTTATACAGTATGTTTCGTTTAATTTAAGGTGTTTTTAGTGAGTATTCAGGAGCAGGTTTTTAGTTCATTGCATGTGTTTTGTTTACAAAATATATTTTTGGAGAACTCTGGTTAGTAGATGGTTTTAGGTACATGTTTGTGTTTCTGTTCATTCTTTAGGGTTTGGTGGCCATGCTAGAATAATTTTATTATAGATATACATATATATTTTTTAATTTACACACGTTCGCGAATTTGAATGTTATGATTAATTAATGAAAGAAAAGTAACTGAACACCTGCTCACTTATGGTTTTGTAAAAACAACCTACACCTTTGGCGATATGGTTGATACGCTTGGGATGAAATTCGTATGGGGCCATCTAAAACCCAACCCGCACAATCTCTGAAAATTTCGTAAAAATTGGTCTCATGGTTTCGGAAATTTGCGGTTACAAATAGACAGACAGACATGCGCGGGCGATACGGTTGATACGATTGCGATGAAATTCATATGGGGCCATCTAAAACCCAACCAGCATAATCTCTAGAAATTTCATGAAAATTGGTCTCATGATTTCGGAAATTTGCGGTTACAAGGAATTGACAGCAGACAGACAGACATGTGCAGGCGATATGGTTGATACGATTGGGTTGAAAATCATATGGGGCTATCTAAAAACCAACCCGCATAATCTCTGAAAATTTCATAAAAATTGGTCTCATGGTTTCGGAAATTTGCCGGTTGCAAGGAATTGATTATACACAGGCACGGAGCCAAATTTATTCAAAAAGATCTGAAACAGAAAATGCAAGTGCAAATTTTGATTTGGGAGGGCAAAAATCTTTGACTTTCCGCATGAATCCTTACCTTCGGGAATTCGGAAACAATAGTAGTATAATAAAAAGAAAAAGAAGGTCATAATCATAGTACAAGATTAGTTTTTATACAGTTTGTATGATGTTCTTGGTTCTGACGATGTAGTCGGACTTTGTCTTCAACACAGTGGATTTTCCGATAGATGGATGATTTTTCTTAATTTATTTTTTGTTTTGACTGAGTTTTGATATCTTTTGCCGCAGTGGGTTGGGAGAGTAATCTTTTTTGTTACGTAGATTGTAATGTTCTAAAAGGGGTCAACGTTTGGTTTTTATTTTTATTTGTTAAAATTTACATACAAATTTTTTCAAATGGGTAAACAAATTCGTGATTATCTTAAACGATATTTTTCAGATATAAGGGGTATCAGCGGAGTGGGGCAGTCCGGTATTTAAATAATAAAAACAAGGTTGTTGGGCAGTGGCAGTTTGAAAGATTGGCTGTAAACATGTTAGCTCGGTGGTCGTTGGGCCTCGTTATCCCTCTGGTCCTGGTCTTCGGCAGACAGGAAACGGATTACCGTCTGCCGAAGGATGTCGATTCGATCCGGTACGAACTTACGCTAAGCCCGGACTTGAACTTGTCGATTTTTGACGGTAAGCTCGGCTTCATTTTCAAGGCGCTTAAGACGACCGACGTGCTCGTTATGAACTGCAAGGATCTTGAATTCGTCAACGGGAGTATAAAGTTAGTGAGCAAAAACGGCGACGAGATGCGACTTGCCTCCGTCGAAGTGAACCCATCACTTGAGAGATTGTACGTCAAGCCCCAGGAGCCATTGATGAAAGGGGAGTTTTACAAACTGGAAGTTGAGTGGGTTGGCAAAATTTACACAGATGGAATAGGTCTTTATTCCATCAACTATCTCGGCGAAGGCAAAAAGAAAAAGTAAGTTTTTTTTACCATTCACCATTCCGCCATTTCTTAGACAGTAGGGATATTGTTTTGGATGTTTATCGACCTGCCGCAAGTTAAGTTTGGGTGATCTTTAGAGGTCATATGGAGCAAGTAAGGACATTAGTATTAGATAAGGTGTAGTGATAATTAACTTAACTCCTTCCTCATGCCCACCTGGTTAAAGGAGAGACTAGATGAGGTCTGGGGTTGTTTTCTTCTTTAAAACTTACTTCCATTTAGGTACTCTAATGAGTCTCCCCTAGCTAGTTTCCCTTTACAATAATGTAGAGGACGCTAGCCTGGATTGAAGCTAATTGTGCATGTGATCTGTGATTGATATTTATGACATTGATTTTTTTTAAATACATATTTACAATTAGATTAGAAAGCTACAACAAAATGGAAGAAAATAACATAACTCGGTCAAAACAAGTGAGAACATATTTTTTGCAAAAGAAAAAGAAAATCGGTCATAACTCAGAAATAGTCGATCCTATCAAAATTTTCCTTTGGCATAAAAAAGCTCGAGAATCGAATTGTACAATAAAAATATGGGATTCTCATTTAAAATAAAAAAGTTAATGTCATTTCCCAGCTAGATGAGAAAGTTATGTAAAATCGGTTACCACCACGCGATTCCTAGCCAAAATTAATTTGGGGTTTGTATAAAACCATTTTTTGCTAAAGTTAATCGTTTCCGAATTAAATGGGTAGACTAAGTAGTTGATACACCCTGTATACAATAAATTAAATAATTACATAAATAATAATAATAATGCTTTATTGAACTTAAGAAAGGAAAAAAAGACAATTTTGATTTCAAAGCAGTTAAGGACATGGATCTTGGATCCGTCTGCCAGAGGTCGTTGATTAAACAATCAGAAACGAAAAAATACACAATAAAATAAGATAAAAGTAAAATAAGATAGAAGTTATAGCATAGGTAATAAAATAAAAAAAGGAGAAATAATAACTGTCAAAATGCGAAAGAGAGACTAGAAAAGCAGGTTATACTACAAATCAAAAATTAAACTCCTTAATTAACTCCTATCTGTAGTTCCATGGATGCCTAGCTTAACGAATTAAGGGCCGCGAATTTGAGCCACTCAAAAACCGTAACAGGTTAGAGTGAAACATCCGATGCAATAACCGAATTGACGGTTTTTTTCAAATTGGGGTTTAGTGCAGAACCAGGGATGAGCACTCCGCCAAGAAGTGGGATACAGTTTCAATAGATCGCGAATTACACAAAGAACAGATTCTCAATTCCCCTCTGATCCAAACAGCCGAGTTTAAGTGCAAAACCTCACTTCTTAGCTTAAATAGCCATCACAACTCATTGAGACAAAGACGGTCAAAATTATCTTCATGAAGGTCGAACAATGCAGGAGAAATTTGTACTTAATTGTAAGTACAAGGACTCATTACTCCTTGTAAAGTGAGAGATGCTAGATGCTTGGGCACGTGACCGGCATTCATCGTGATATTGTTTTTTAATTTGATTAATAAGAACTAAAACATAATTATGCCAGTCACAGAGGTTGTCTAGGGATATGAGGAAGGGCAAGTTGTACTTTTCAAACAAATATTTCCAGCGAACCATGCAATATTAGTCTTTATGACCGCCAACGATGTTATTTTTGTGTATCTAGTATCGGGAGACATCAGGACTTTCACAATATATGAGTTGTGAAGCTTAAGTGTATACACCAAAATTAAATCCATGTTGGTCTCTAAATATAATATATAGTTTGGTGTACCAGATGGCAATGAAAATAATTTTCTTACAAAAAAACGTTGCACTTTTTCTATTGTTTCGAACCTCTGGTAACCCCACACTTGACAGCCATAGTACAGAATTGCACGACTTATCGCCTTAAAAATATTAAACGACTTTAATAGGGATAGTTTTTTTGAGTAGGAAGGCTGACCATGTGTTATTAAGCCTAAATTACCTAATTTAGCCACTGACGCTTTCCAAGAGAAGTGCTTCGTCCAAGAGAGTCTCAGGGGTAAATATAACTCCTAAATATTTGTTTACAATCTCGATGAGATTGCCCCTGAAAAAAAATTACATAAATAACACAATAGGCAGGACTAATTACATGAATAATTCAGTGATAAAAAAACATTTCATACAAAACTACAAAAATCAATAGATAAATGAAAAATAAACTCTAAAATGAATTACGTAAATACTTAAAAATTACGGACGATGCTGTCGTTAAACAACTTGTAAACCCTGAAACAATTTTATAATTGTCTGATCATTTTTTAACCCTGTACGAAGAAAAAAAAGAAGCTTTTCCATAGTACATAGTATCTTACCTGTAAACTGTGTTAGACGAGTTCGCGTGGTAATGTATTTAGTAGCGTGAATGCTTCGCGTACAACCCTGTCATCTTTTACTGACATACTTAGTGTACGGTGATTCAGACTCTGCAGAAGGGATTGCTTAGGAATTAAAATATTGAAAAAAGATTAATGAGCAATGAAATTATTTGGGTTTATAATTTGCGCATGAGTGGGGTTTAAATGACTTGTGACCTCCTGATTAAAAAAAGGCTGGGAGTATGTATGGCCAATTATTCAATTAATTAAGGTTTTTAGTTGAAATGAAAAAAGTTAATGGCACGAGCGGGATTCGAACCCACGATCTTCAGCTAGATACGCCGCTGCTCTACCACTTGAGCTATCGTGACCTCGATCCACTCGGACATCAACTTCCTATCTCAACCCCACCTATGAGTTTTCCCTCCTTTTTTGCCATTTTTCAAATGTCGTGTAATCGGTTTGGATTCTCTAACTTTTTTTCATCTCAACTAAAAACCTTAATTAATTGTAATGATTTAATTGGTCAAGCGAACCACGAAATTAGTGAATGTACAATTAATAATATACAAATAATAATGCATTAGTCAGTTTGTACATTTCTTTCCCTGTATGAATATAATTCATTTAGAGTTAGTTTTAGAGGTGTATTTTTTCACTAGATTATTTATTGTGCTTGCGTTTTAGTCGTTGTTCTGAGTTATGTTTTTATTATTTGTAGTTCGGGTTTGTATTTCTTATTGGTTAGTGGTACTGATTTAAAGACTTATGTAATTTTTTTGTTAACTCATGATATTTCTTCCTACGGTCTGCTGGGTGATGAACCTTGATAGTTTCGATCTTACCGATCAACATTGCCTATCTTCACTGGGTTGGTCTGTCAAGTTTCTGTACAGACACATTGAAGATGGGGAAAAGGTAAAACGCGTTTGTCAGACCAAGCCAGCAAGGATAGGCCGACCAAGATGACCAAATCACAAATTTTTTGAGGTTAGTTGAAATGAACTGCTTGTCGATAGTTCAGGAGACAAAAGAAGGTTAGAAAAGCGTTCAGCAGCATAATTAATAATGTACAAATAATACATTACGTAAAAATATATTTATATAGCTATCGTATTTAAAAGATAAATTTTTAAGGAGGATGTTGGCGAGTCAGTTTCGACCCGTTCACGCTCGAAGAGTCTTCCCGTGCCTCGATGAGCCATCATTCAGGGCGCATGTCATTTTGAAAGTTATCCACAATCCGGACTTCAAGGCGGTGTCAAACATGCCCATCTTGCATACCAAGAGAACACTGTAAGTTTCAAGTAGATAATAATTCCTGTACAGTCCAGTTATCCTCTGCAGTTTCAGCCCTGGCACGCTGACGACAGAATTCGTAAAGACACCGCCGATTCCTGTTTTCCTCGTCGGTCTGATACTTTCACAATTGCCAGAATTCGAAGGGGAAAACGGCTTTTTCGCCATGGCGACTCCGGAAAATTTCGAAGGGATTAAATACAGCGCAGAGATCGGGCCGAAAATGGTCGCGGCCATGGAGAGTCTGACAGGAATCTTATACCCGCTGAACAAAACCCACCAAGTAGCTCTTCCCAAACTCAACCCAGTCGCCATGGAAAACTGGGGCCTTTATAACTTTAAGTAACGAGCCTTATCGACTTAAATATGACAAAAATAATGTAAAATTTCACGTTGTTTAAAAAGGGAGAACAATATACTGTACTTCAGCGGTGAATCGCCGACCATGCAAAAGCAGACTGCGGCTAGGTTTTCCGGTCATGAAATCTGCCATTCATGGATGGGAAACATGGTCTCTCTCGAATGGTGGGACCATCTCTGGATGTCCGAAGTTTTTGCCATGTACTACGAATACCTCTTGCCAGACATGGTTCTACTTCTTTTTATTATTCATGGGGCTTTAACATACAAAGATCTGATTAAAAAAAAAATGTAAGGTCATAGTACTAAACCAATGTATAACGTTTCAGGTGAATCACTGTTGGCGAATGGAAGAGCAGATGGTGATAGACCTACAACAGGCTGGACTTCTGCAAGATTCACTCCCAGTGGATCCGCTTACCACCAAAGTTCTAACACCGGAAGAAGTATCTAATAAATTCTCTGGTGTAACATATACAAAAGGTAAATTTTTGTATAAGAATTTTCTAAGGAGATAAGTGATTTGTCTTCTTATGATAGGGCCTGGAGTTTTGAGGATGGCGATTCATATTTTGGGCTATCAGACATTTCTTCAAGGATTCAGAAAGCTTCTTCATACGCTGTGAGTTTTTAATTTTCCTTTTTATATAAAATAGTATTTCTTGCACATTTTTATTATATTTTAGTAATGAAAGTGATATGTAAATTAGACAAGTGTTTATTATGGTACTTTTTTATATATCTGTTTTAGCGCCTATAACAGTTTGTCAAGTCCAGATGCTCTTTGGCTTTATCTTTCCTCCGAAGCCAAAAATCTTCCAGCAGATATGGCGACAATTATGTCAAACTGGACGGTTTTTCCTGGATATCCTCTGGTGAACGTCGCCGTTACTAAAGAAGGCTTGCTTCTTTCTCAGGTGGGTTTTTGTGTTTGTTTAATGGTTTTAGTTGGTTTATATTCGTTTTGTTTCCATTAGTCGAAGTTCACTCTCGAAGAGGTCGCAGGGTCGGAGCAGACTTGGTGGATTCCGCTTAGTTACACGACAAAAACCGAGTGCGACTTTGTATCTGCTAAGCCGAAAAATTGGTTTAATCCTGAACATAACATGGCACTCATTAAAACCAACTTGAAACAAAACGACTGGGTCATTTTTAACATTCAATCGGCAGGTGAGCTAAACAGTACAGTTTGATCATTTCCTCCGTTCAACCCTTCGCTCACAGGATTCTACAGAGTGAACTACGATCTCAACAACTGGAATTTAATCAAACGGCAGCTTTACGAGGATTCGGAGAAGATCAGCCCTTTGAATAGGGCTCAGTTGATCGACGATAGCTTGAACCTAGCCAGATCGAGTAAGCTTTCTTACGATATGGCCCTTTCCCTTATCGGCTACTTGGCTAACGAAACAGACCTGATCCCTTGGAAATCAGCCATAAGAGGTTTTTCATTTCTCAGAACCGTCCTTCGGGAATCTCCTCACAAGAAAAAGTTTGATGTGATTATATTCTTTTCAATTTTTTTAGAAGATTTTATAGTTTATTTAATGTTTACAGTTATTCTTAAGCCGTCTTGTCGACAAAGCGTTCGAAAAATTCGGTTGGGACGAGGACAAGAGTGCCACCCACGCCTCCAAGATCAACAAGGAACAGATTGTACGCTTTGCCTGTCAGGTTGACCACAAAAAATGCGTTGATAAATCGCTCGAGTTCTCCAACAGCCTGATGTACGGAAATTGGCAAAGGTGAAATCAAAATTTTAACTTTGATGCACATGTTTACTATGTCCAACATCAAAAATTCTTGTTCTTTAATTGATCTGGATAAGTAGATCTCTACTTAAGTCAAAAATACTTAGGACGGAACAGATTCTGTAATACATTTGCTAGTTTTGCTCAATGCCTGGTCATATCAAAGAAAAATAATAACAGAAAGTATTAAAACTCTATTTTGTGAGAAAAACGGAGGGATCTTTTTATAAATAAGATTTTCAATTTTGCAAGGCAAGTAGACATGTTTAGCAAGTGCGTATTTTATAATAAAAAATAAATGTTTTACAAATGGGCAGATATTTTTCAACATGCATCGAAATTTTTAAACATTAATGTACGCTTGATATCAAAAATCTTCATGTTGTCTTGATTTTGGGGTTTGAGGGTGGGGTTGCTGCATTGTTTGCTTAAGTCCAGATTTCTACATCGCCTCTTTATGCTGAATTACTCAAGAGTGAAAGGCATGACTGGTATCCTACCAAAATTAGATCTCGATGACATGACAGACGCCCAGCCATCGTATCCGCAAAATATTTGTACAAAAATTACAAGAGATGAAGGCATCGAAAAATCTTCAGGTCAAAGAAATAGCCTGAATTGTTTAACCAGAGGGTTGCTATACCACAATACCACCAATTAAAGGAAAAAACAAGCAAACAAAAAAATAACGATCTCTTTATAAATACGATAAATAAAACTAGAAAACCAAAGTCAAACAAAAACAGCACGTTCCGGCTTTTCAGTCAAGCCCAAACAAACGAGGGTAGGCAGACCTACAAATAAAAACTTTCAAACATTTTAAACCTAAATCTTCAACAGCTTTCTGACGTGCAGATTTCTAGAAAATATTTTTGAAATGACTCCTTTTTGAAAGGTGCAATGTTATTTTTCCCTCAACATCGAAAAATAATTTTATTTTTTCAAAGTAATTTGATGAATGCATAGAATCGTTTTTGTGGAGAGGGGTCAGAAATTCCTGGGGCGATGAGGGAATCGAACCCTGACGGCGGGATTTACGAGTGAAAGTCTGGCGCTCTAAACCAAATAAAAAACGTTCTGGAGCAGAAATATAAAATTTGAGAAGTAATTTCTTAAACTATTTTTTGAAATATTATAATCTAGCTGTACATTTCATTTTCTTCTAGATTTCGGGACATCATTGTCGAACCCTTCGTACATAATAGGAAAAAATTTAAATTTTTAAAATTCCAACTTTTCCTTTACAGCTTGTCTGTCGACGTGAAGGAGACCGCCTTCTGCACCGGCGTCGAAAAAGGAAGCAGTGATTTTGGTGAAAAGGTCTTCTCGTTTTACAGTGATTCGTCAGGAGCGGAAGCTGCGTTGTACCTTAAAGCGCTTACTTGCTTACCCTCGATCTCTGCAATTGACAGGTTTGTCTTCAAAACTGTGAAATTAAGTTTACTCACCAATTTCATACGGATTATTTCTTATTTTGGATAAGTGATAGTCGAACACGACTTGCTTTCTTTTTTGCTCGTTTTAAATAAATAAGTTGATTATTTCACTACGTAATACCCTAAAACTACAAATTTTTATTCTCAGATTATTTTGATTGTCGAAAAAATAAGCTTGATACGTTTTCAATAGGATACTTATATCACGAGTGGGATTTGCGGACGTATCTACGTGGAATTCCATGTTTTCCAGTTTCGCATCAAGGATGGAAAACGCTGGGAAACTTTTGACACTCCTGAACACGCACCGGTCTAGGATAACAGAAAAGTACTATTCATTAACATAAAATTCTAGTATCCATTGATTATAAAAATTTTTTTTCAGCATCGGCGTTTCACAATTTGTCAACCACTTGAAAAGCTTGGTACCCTTTTTGACAACCGAGTCCCAACGGGAAATCGTAAGGAAAGGATTTTTAAAATTTTTTCCAGAAGGTAATAAAACTTTTTTTTACAGCTTGAAAATTTAAATGTACAATATTCAGGTCTTGAAGATGCCTTGTCTGCCCTGAACAAAACAATATCATGGAGGAATACGTTCCTTCCACGTATAACGTCATTTTTAGACAGAGAAGTATAAAGTTTAAGTGATTAACGTGTAAAAGCATTTTATAAATAAATTGTACATATTTACTTTTGTAAATAATTTTCATTCGTTTATTAATATATTTTAAACAACCTGATTATTAACAAATTTTTTAAATAAAAATTGACTATAAAATGTGATTTTCATTTTCTCTCTATCTCCCTCCCTCTAAACTATTTTTCCGTTTTTCTATTACACTATTGCACACAAAACAAAAAATACACATAAAACACACGCCCACACGAACACAAACGATGTTCTAAAATTTCCATTTTTTAGGGAAATATTATTAATTTTTGTTATATTTGTTAACTTTCTTTCGTGTGTGGTGATTAGTGACCATTAGTCGATGATTATTAGGAAATCGTGAGATGCGGTCTGGTGTGACGTAGGTTTTAGAAAAACATTTCTTTATCGTGCCAACGTTTCGTTATTTATTGAGATCATCTTCAGGGCTCAAAGTGTGTGTTTTCTGTGTAATTGTTCAATTGAGAGTGTGAGAGACTCTCAACACGAAACACAAGTATGGCAAAAACAAAAAGTTGGCACAAACACTTTGAGCTCTGAAGATGATCTGGATAAAGATCGAAACGTTGGCACGATAAAGAAAATGTTTTTGTAAAACCTATTTCACACCAGACAGCATCTCACGATCTCCGAATAATTTCTTTTGTGTTTTGATTCTATTGACTTAAAAAATAAAAATAAAATTTATTAAGGTCTGCATTGCATAAACATCAATAGTCTTTACAAACCAACCTACAGTTTCTGTAATTTGGGTCTAAAACAACGCAAAAGACATTGTTTTTGTTGAATGTATTTTCCTATGTTACCATACTTTTCAATGAATATAAGCTAGTTTCAATAATTTATATTATGTTTTTTTTTCTAGAAAAATATCTCATTTTTGTAAATAAGTTATTTTAATTTAATTATAAATAGTTCAAAAGCAACCTAATTTTTATTTAAAAAATTCCAAATTTAGTTGTTGCATTTTCAATTTGTTTTAATTGTGCAAGAGGGGGTTGTGGCTCCATTGATTAAGGCTTTTTTTAAACGTCCCACACAGGTCTCGGGTTCGAATCTCAGCAGCTCTAATTTCGAAACTAAAGAATTTACAAATAGGCATTTTTCAAAAACACAACCACGGGTGTTGACGACCTCAGCAGTTGTGAACTTGCACTCGTATATTTTCTCCGCTTAATGGAAAAACATTGAATAATTTATATGTAACCAAATCATACATAAGCCTAATATTAAAAATTATCATATCACAGCCCGTCTCTAACCGTAACGCTAACCTTACCCAACCTAACCCTAAACCTACCTTACTTAAAGCGTCGCACAAATTCCCAGTTTAACTCACAATCACAATTACGTCATTTTTGGTTGATAAAATGTAGTTCCTGTGCAGTTTTGCAAGACAATTACTCAGTTATCAGAACTGAGCATCTAGAATCTCTTTTCTGATGGTAAAGTGCATCAAACCTCTTACGAGATTTGATTGAAACCTGACGTTTCCTTTCTTCTGCTCTTTGAGATATAGAAAGTACTTTGTATTCTAATGGATAATAAAAAATATCTTTTCTTTATATTAACTGTATTGTTCTCAAGTAAATAAACCTTATGATAATGAGCGAAAACTGGGGTTAATACCTAACGCTAATAGTAACCTAACCTATCCAACTTAACCTAACCCTACCTAACCTAACCATTCCCTAAGTTTACCTAACCTAACCAAACCCATGCGGAATTGCCGGCAATGCGAAATCGATTCCGCGAAAATGGTCCGCCACAAAAAATTTATTTATATATCCATGTTACAAAATAAATTGTGCGATAAATTAACGTTATGTACGTAATGGGTTTGAATTTGTTAAAATTTGAATCCTTTACTAGACATTGTGGCTTCTGAAACATGTCGGACGAAATATTTTGTTGCACTTATTTTACTTACGAGGTATTGGCAAAAATTGTACAATTCGTAAATACGGTAAATACATAAAAATAGACCGGAAGACTTTAAAAACTTTCCATAGAGTCATTTTGTGCATTTGGTTTTTAAATAATTAACTTTTCACTTCAGCTATCTAAACCACTAGGTCCATAATATTTTATTTTTCGTTTATTCGTTACAGTCTTGGGTTAGTTTAAATCAATATTACTGGTACTGTTTTTCTCCGTTGTTTAACCGTTGTACTTTTGGGATTACTTACTTATGGCCCCCAATGTATATAATATTTATACTATTTTATAATGTACCTAATACTTAACAACTTTTAATGGTTAAAATTTTGTTAATGGTAATAGCGAAGTGTAACGGAAGCTAAGAGATTTTAAAATAGAAAAACCAGACAATAGCAGGACGACGAATATAGACTGGTTTGTATGAAACACTTTGCCAACTCGGATCGTTCTTTTGCTTATGATATAACAAATTCGGTGTTGGGATTGGCTTATAAACATCTTAGGAAAAAAAGGAGTAACTAAGGATACAAAAACATAAAGACAAAAGTTCGATTTCTCCTTTATTGGACTCGATGCAAAGTCCGCATTAACATCGCATGCTTCTTCTAAAACAAAAACAAAAAGAAAACAAGTAATTTCTGAAATTCAGATTGTTGGAAGAAAACAAAAACATGCAACATTCCGATTAATTTATTTTATTATTTATTTAATAATTAACATCCACATTTTTTGCATGGCCAATGTTACGGGCAAGTTTGCCCACATGCGAATTGGCAAATTCGAGCCAGTTTCCCAGTCCGGTTCTTTATAAGAATATTTTATTAAAACCTGTTCCACACTTTATATTATTAACAGCGCCAGTCCAATCGTCCTAGATTTTCATGGCCAGGCTCATTTGGACTTGAAGCGATGCCAACTTGCCAAATTTGATAACTTGACGTGACTTCAGTGTGAACCTGCTGCCATTAAACGCTACAATTTATCCAGTTACGACTAATTAAATGGTTAAAGTAATTACATAATTGTGATAAATATCGACAAACTAGTCTCTTCAGTACGACTTAATTCCTTATATTTCAATACAATCTTTATTTGTACCGCCATATCATTTTAGAAAAAAACACCAAGATGATAATATTACTAGAACAACAATCAAAAATCACATTAAAAAGATTATTTTATTTTCTTTATAACTGAACAGTTATAAAGAAAATAAACTGTTTATTGTATTTTACATAACCAATTAATTTACAAAACATCTACTATTACTACTGAGGACAACTTTTCTACTTTACTAACCACTACCAATCCTCATAATAAACAATTAGATTATTATGTATCTTGAGGACGTGGAAAGATGTTATATCTTCTTTTTCTCGACTTCTTTCGGCATTTGGAAATACGTATTTTTATGAAAAATAAAACGCTGTCCATACATATTTATTTTACTGTGGATCGATTCAGCGAAACAAGATACTCGAAAAAATTTGGCAGCATGCTGAGTTAATTGTAGAGATAATAAAGTCCCTTGGAAATTAGGCCTGATTATATTTAAACGCAGAAACTGTTTCGTACAATCTACAAAATTTTAACGGACTACAAAGTTGAAGGATGTCATAAATCATCTCAATTTTGGTACACCAGGCTGTTTCTGCCTTTCGCTTAAAGACCGAAGTTAAGGAATAATTTTGTGTTATGTCATAATTTTGGGGAAGTGTATCATTACGAAGTTTTTTGTTTTTGCGAGTTTGGCTAAGGCCCGCCTTAAGATAGTTTTGTCGTCTGTGTACTGCTTGAAAGCTTCCGTGAGTAATTTTTGTTATAGTTTTTGTGTGAAACGCGAACGCGGAAGTCAGAAAAAACGAGAGAGCGAAAGAAGGAGGGAGCGTAAGAGGGAAAAAGAGAGAAAGAGAAAGAAGATAGAAAGGAAAGTTGAGAGAGAGAGAGAGAGAGAGAGAGAGAGAGAGAACAGAGTAAAAGTGAGAGTGTGTTTGTGTGTGAGAGAGAGGAGAGAGAGTGACAAATACACAGAAAGACAGAGAAAGCGAGAATGAGAGAGAAATTTAACATTTCATTTACATCAGCTCGCAAAATTAGGTCTCATGAACTTTTCGTTCAGGGAGAGGGAGAGAGAGAGAGAGAGAGAGAGAGAGAGAGAGAGAGAGAGAGAGAATTATGCTTAAATTTTTACAACCCGACTTTCGTGTATAATGTATGTGTAGTAAAAATTCGCCGTGTTTGACAGGATGGCATATAAAAACAATTTTTTGGAATAACTGAAAATTTTAAATAAATACTATATTTAAAAAAAATCTTATTGATAATAAACATACCGTTTAAATATTTAATGTTTCCTTCATAAATTGAAAGACGAATTGTATTTTGTCAATAGTGCATTGATTTTTAATGTAAATATTTTTCTTTTTATCAGGAAACATATAAATAAATATGAAAGTTAGTTTTCAATGAGATCAGTATTCATGGTCGAAGATGCGCTTCCTCCTCAGTTTGTAGTCCCAGTGTGGCCTAGGGATCGACTTCACGTATATATCTACCTCGTCCAAAGGCTCTTTCTCTCCTTGCCTGAGGTAGTCGTAATAGGCGTGGACTGTTCTTTCCTGGCTGTACGTCTCGATGGCGCCCGGCTGCAGAAGACGCACAGACGTGCACGCGTATTCAGGACGCATTTCGTAGAACCTGACCAAGTAACAGGCAGCCATGACTCCGCTTCTGCCACGTCCGAGCCGGCAGTGGACAGCAACTGACTGAGAAAAAAAATGTGTTCAGATTTCCTATGTTGAACTTCTACAAGCTAACAATCAGTGGATATCAACCATTTATAAAATCAATTAAGCTCAATTATTGATTCTACCTGGACTATTTTTTAATATTTTGTTATACGTATGTGGTGTTTAGTTACCGTTAATTAATGATTATTTAGAGATCGTGAGATGCGGTCCGGTGTGATGTAGGTTTATCAATCCCAGGCCCTGAAGATGATCTCAATAAAGATCGAAACGTTGGCACGATAAAGAAAATGTTTTTCTAAACCTACATCACACCATACCGCATCTCAGATCTCTAAATAAAAATTTTGTTATACCTTGATGTCAAATAATGATTCATGCTTTTTTCGTACATATTCAAGTGGATAAAGAATACAAATAAATATATTAAAAATAAAAACAAACTAGAGCAACCCAGAAAGCTCGGCCTTGGCAGTAGACTCAGCACAGTGTAAATAAAATTCGCCTGATAAACCTGGTGCTTTTTTATTATTAGTCAAAATAGTAGAAGGTGTGGGCAGTTTAACATAAAAGGAAATCTTGACTGACCCATCCAAATAAATATAGGAAGAGACGTTTTTAAGAAACACAGAAACTTACAGATGGGCTTTATTGTGCTACATAGATGGATCCAAAACGAAACAGGAGTGACGGTACGAATTATAGACCCAAATTTTGACCTCTAAGCCTCTAAGCCCCACATTGTCACCACAAAGCTGAGATTCATGCTTTAGAACTTTCATGCTATTGAAAGTAATGGCTTAAAAGGTGCATAGTTATACTTATTTTCAGACTAGCTCTCTATTTCTCTCCCTCTATCTCTCTCTCTCTCTCTCTCTCTCTCTCTCTCTCTCTCTCTCTCTCTCTCTCTCTCTCTCTCTCTCTCTCTCTCTCTCTAAATGATAATATAATATTATATTTACAAATATAATGTTGATTTAAAATGTAAATGGTTAAAAAACATATAAAACAATATTATTTATATTAATGTAAAAGTGATAGATTTCATTCTAAAAAAATATCTATCTTAATTAAAAATAAATAATTTATTTACAATTAATTAATCTTTAATTAAGGTTTCTGTTGAGATAAAAAAAGTCAGTGTCACAAGCGGGATTCGAACCCACGACCTTCTGCTAAATACGCCGCTGCTCTTCCTCAATTGGTAGTATTTAGCCGAAGGCCGTGGGTTCGAATCCCGCTTGTGGCACTGACATTTTTATCTCAACCAAAACCTTAATAAAAGAATAATTAATTGAAAATAATTTATTTGGTCAAGCGGACTACGAAACGTAATAAATGTAATAAATCATTTCGTTTAACAAGAGAAATGCTATTTATATTAACTAAAACCGATCGAATTAGACCTACAAGTAAATATAAAAAACTGTATAGTTTAAGAAGAAAAAATAATTCATAACAAAACATATATACATGCATGTTGTTTTTTAATTAATAATTAAAAATATGTCTTAAAAAATCGTCTAAAAAGTATTTTAAAAAATGTTTAATCAATAAAAACAAAAATGTTTATAATAATTATAATGGTAGAGCAGCGGCGTATTTAGCCGAAGGTCGTGGGTTCGAATTCCGCTTGCAACACTTGCTTTTTCATTTCAACCAATACCTTACATAAAAATTCATTAATTGAAAGAAGTTATTTGGTCAATCGGACCACGAAATATAATCGAATTAATTGTAATGATAATACCGATAGAATTATAATAAATGAAAAGGGTTGAATGTAACAAAGAAAAATTGTTAATCATAAAACGGTAATTCTTGTGTTTAGATTTAAAAGTACATATTATTAATAAGAATAAACATAGAAAGATTGGATCAAGTTCAGAAATAAAAAGTAAATCATATTGACACGAAAAAAAAATTTACAATAAAATTTACAAAAGAAGAACAACTAACTTAAAAAATAAATGTTTATATTAATAGTAATAAAAGTGATAACTAATAGTAATTGAACCTGGGTTTAAATATTAATTATAATATGTATTAACATTTTTTTATTATATTAATTGTCAATTGAACACATTTAGTTTATAGGATAATTTTATTTGTATATTATTTCTAACTATTGAATTTAATTAAAAAAGAAATGTTATATCAATTAAAAATAATTGGTATTTATAATGAAACCTATGAGAAACGTTGCGTGCATAATTGTAAGAAAGAACAGTATTGTCCTAAATTTGTGCACATAAAAAAAATAAAAGGTGAGTTAATTTCAATTCAGATCTTTCTGTCTTTCTCTCTCTCTCTCTTTCTTTCTTTCTCTGAATCTATCTATTATCTTTACCTACATATATTACATTCGTACACATCTTTCTTTATATTAATTTGTCAGCCTATAAATTAATATACAAAACTATTTCTATTCTTCACTCTCCCCCTCTCTCTTTCTATATTTTTTCTTTGTTTCGTTCTTTCTTTCTTTCTCTGAATCTATCTATTAATTTGTCTCTACCTACATATATCACATTTTCGTTAGAAAAAGTCTATTTATATTAATTTATCAGCCTATAAAATAATGTACATTACTATTTCTCTCTCTCTCTCTCTCTCTCTCTCTCTCTCTCTCTCTCTCTATTTATCTATCTATCTCTCGCTTTATTTTTCTTTCTTTCTCGGAATCTATCTATTAATTTATCTCTACCTATATATATATATATATATATATATAACTTTTTTGTTAGAAAAATCTATCTGCCTTTGTATTAATTTACCAACCTTTAAATTAATGTACATAACTATTTCTCCCTCTCCCTCTCTCTTTCTTTTTCTTTCTCTCTTTCTTATACTAATTATATTTATTAATTTATCTCCATCTACATATATTACTTTTTTGTTAGAAAAATCTTTCTTTCTTTATATTAATATGTCTACCTATAAATTAATTCTTTCAATTAATTCTTTTTATGTAAGGCCTTGGTTGAGATTAAAAAGTTATTGTCATGAGCGGGATTCGAACCCACGACCTTCGGCTAAATGTGCCGCTGCTCTAACCACTTAAGTTGTCGTGACTTCGATCCTCTTGGACACCAACTCCCCATCTCAACCTACAACCTTTCAAATTTGGCCCCTGCAACCCCCTTTTTGCCATTTTTCAAATGTCGTGTAATCTGGATTCGATTCTCAGCGACTTATCAAGTGGCCAGGGGAGCTGTTAGTGAAGTGATGCTTCTTTTACTTGTTAAATATTAATCCATTTATATTGAGCGGTCTAACTGACCAAATTACTTCTCTCAATTAATTATTCTTTTTATGTGGCCGAAGGTCGTGGGTTCGAATCCCGCTCGTGACACTCACTTTTTCATCTCAACCAAGACCTTACCTCAAAAGAATAGTTAATTGAAAGAAGCAATTTGGTCAATTATACCACTAAACATAAATGGATTAATCTATAAATTAATGTACATAACTATTTCTCTCTCTCTCTCTCTCTCTCTCTCTCTCTCTCTCTCTCTCTCTCTCTCTCTCTCTCTCTTCTTTATAATGACAGACACAGACACACTCTATCTTTTTCATTTTTGACATAAATCAAAATTAGCAGTGCATACCTCCTTGTTAAAATGTGCAGTTTTGCAGATGTTTATGAAGTTTATTATCTGGCTTAACGTCGGCGGTTCGAATTCGAGCACGTCGATCGGCGTCCACCTGAAATGGAACGGAAAATGCTCGAATGGAGGCTGTTTTTCAGGAGACAATGACACCAGATGGGTGATGCCCTGTTGGACCAGATAAAGGATGTTCGCCTCGTTCTTTGGGTAGCCCATGATGACCAGCTCGTTCTTGACGACCCATTTGAAGTTCCAGGGGGGCAAAGGATCCGTCATTTTGACACGGTGTTAACAAGCCGGAGACCCAAAAGAGACTGCAGATCCGCCGAGATAAATCCGACACCTCGGCCATTAGATCAGTGCCAAATTCTCGAGCGCCTGTTCGCACTAACAATAAGTTAATGATGCCTCATTGAATCGTGGACATCTCACCAATTGTCCTTAATTTTAAAACTTTCCTTTATATCTAAAGACTATTAAAACTGTCATAATATTTAAACCTAATTAATTATTAATTAAAATTATATATGTTATCTGAGAATAATAGTTAATAATAATAATAGTTTATTAAATTTGTAAGCAATTTTGTACCGACTTCCTTCCCCACCCCTTCAAAACCAAACATATATAAACATAAAACAGTAAAATCTCACTGGCACTCTCAACACGACACGCAAGGATGGCACAATTACACAGAAGACAAACACTTTGAGCCCTGAAGATGATCTCAATAAAAGATCGAAACGTTGGCACGATAAAGAAAATGTTTTTCTGAAAACTACATCACACCCGACCGCATCTCACGATATCTGAATAATTTCCCCCAAAGTTCTATTAAAGCTTAATTGGATAGTTTTATTTTTTCCGTAACGTTTAACTGTGATGTCAGTGAGACCCCCAAATATTTATATGTTTCAACTATTGCTAACGTTTTATTTTATTTCGATTGGTATTTTATTGATTTAAATATCATAATTTTTGATTTAGCAGTATTACCTTTCCATTAGTCTCAATACATTTCTAAATCTTCTATCATTGTTTGTAACGCCAAACGAGTGTCTGCAATACCACATCATCGGCATACATTAACATTTTCCTATCTCCACCTCCTTATCACTTCGTTAGATCATCTAGAAATACAGCAAACAACGAGGGGGTTGAGGATTGATCCTTGTTTGACTCCAGACGGTGTTGAAAACCATCCCGAAAGTTCTTTTACCATTTCACATTTTGTGCCTTTGTAAAGTCCTTGCAATGCCTTAATTCATTTATAAGATACATCTAGATTACTCAGTTTAAAAAATGGAGCATTCCGATCTACAGAGTCAAAGGCGGCGGAAAAATCAACAAAAAACGTGTTTATTGACGAGAGGACTCTCCGCGAGTGGAGAAAGACCCACTAAGTGACCCTGTGCCGGTTCAACGTGAGTTCAACCAAAACCCCATCACTCTAACACAGCCAGTCAGGATACGTTACTTAAAAGGTACAAAAGATAAAACTTACAACCTGCGAGTGGAGAATGAGTAGGAGAAGTAAGTACCCTGTGCCGGTTCAACATGAGTTCCTTCCTCCTAAAGGTTCCCGTATGTACTCTTTAGCCCTTAAAAGAACATGAGGATCTTTAACGTCCGTACCTAGCCTTTCGCCCCTACCGAACGTTTTCATTCTCAAGATGAGAGATGACGCACCTCCACTCACGCCTGGAGGGGCCGAGACGGACTTCATTCTCCGCTTGTCCATTCCGAGTGGATGGGGCTGCATTAAGCCCCAGACCGTGTGCATACATCAGCTTTGGTCGTCGCGCCGAGCTCCCTAGATAGAGAAGGCAACTCTATCTCCCAGAATATTGGGGCTCCTCCGGCCTTAGAACTACCAGATTCGCTCCGGCCGCGGTTTTGTTTAAAGTGGAATGTCTAACTACCCGATAGAGGAACACTGCCCTCGGAAGGAAACCGATAACAGAACCCACGGACAACAGGTTCACACTAAGTTCTCGCCAGGAGCTTCACCACTAAGCCACTACGATTCCATTCCCATGAAGCAAAGTTTAGACTTGAAACATTTTCTGCTACCCCGTAGTTCAGATGGTTATGCACCCTCCCCCCGCCTATGCAGACAGGATCTGGTACTCTAACCCTAACCCGCCGTCCGCTGCCGATCCGAAGGCCGACACGAATCCAGCTTGTGCTTTAGAGAGGTTGCCACGCTCTCAAGGCTACACTATTATGTTGCGTCTAGATACCCCCCCCCCCTTGTATCCAAGGGTTGGAAGAGGTCTCAAGGAAATTGCCGTAGGACCTGGATTGAGAAAGGGAAGTGACCGAGGACACGAGGCTTACCTTTTAGGGTTGCACCACCCGCCTTGGCCCACTTTGCACCCATTCCCACATTTAATTGGGTATGGCTCCTCCCTGTTGGATAAAAGAGACGAGATGGCCGTTCAAGCGTCGAACGAATCGACCGCCTATTTCGAGACTGTGTGACCGCCCGGCACACGTCGGTTTAAAGTGACGAGTGGATTCTCCGCGAGTGGAGAAAGACCCACTAAGTGACCCTGTGCCGGTTCACACACCGGCTGAGTTGAAAGTTGTCCATTCTCAGATACCTTCTCCACATGGGTGAATTCAGGGGGGAGAGGTGGTCAAGCTCTCGAGGGTGCCTGTGTAGGAGGCTTGGCAGGCCGACCTCCTCAGGTCGAACCCACTCCACCCCCAAAGTCCAGCCGCCTCAGTCAGTCTTTGCAACTTCACTGAATGAACAGTTGCGATCCTCTTTTTGTCCAGTCTCCGAAGAACTTGACAGTGGCGACAAATAGGCAAGAGGGCGCGGGAATGGGATAGGTTGTTAGTTGCACTTCACCGTTCCCCATCCGCTACCCCGTGCGTATTCGAGGGACTCCGTCAGCGTAGTCTCAGCCTCCTCGAACGCTATACGCTTCGGTGGTCCGATCCTTCGTATCCCGCGAGGCCGGGGTTTGCAAAGAAGGTCATACGCACAGGCGTCGGTGGATAGCTGCCTCAACTTGAGTTCAACCAAAACCTGATCAACTCTAACAAAGTCAGTCAGGCTACGCTACTTAAAAAGTACACATGTATGTACATAAAACCAACAACCCGCATCTTGAGAAAGACCCAGTAAGTGTCCCTGTGCCGGTTCAACATGAGTTCACCGACTCTCAGGCCAAAACCTATCATCAACTAACTCTAAAAAACACCAAGTGGGTGAGCAGTTCTTCCTCATATTTTGTACATGGGCATACACATATGTTAATCCGTCTGGAATAAAATTCATAGGGGATCATTTATAAACCAACTAGCACACGCTCTGAAAAGTTCATAAGAACTGGTAACATCGTTTCCGAGTTTTGGCGATAACAAGGAATTGACCACAAACAGACAGGGAACCAAATTCGTTCAAAAAGGTCTGAAGCGTAAAATGCGAGTGGAAATTTTGGATTTGGATGACAAAAATGTTTTAGATGTCCCGCATGAACCTTCGATAGTTTGGAAGCACAATAAAATATCGTACAATGTTAACGAAAGATGTGAGAAGTTATGTAGAACTGTTAACTCTTTAGAAAAAGAATATTATAAAATGAAAAAATATTTCTTTAAATATTTTTTTGTATTTCTATAGTTTCTTAAGAAAAATACAAGAGTAAATGTAGTACATAAAAAGTTAGAAAAAATTTACGTTTCTAATATGGTCAGTGCTTTTTGCATTTATACATCCGCCTGATTTTCTGCACGTCCTGGTGCGAGACGCTCTCCCTCTGGCCCAGTTTGACGCCTGTCTTTTTCGGAACGATGGTCGGCTTCTCGTTGACAGAAAACGCGGTTGCAGAGTAGTGCATGACGCTCGAGTAATCGTACGGGATGCCGAGGTCGTCAGTCTGCGATTGCTGCGCTTTGTCGAAGTTGTTCTTACGTCCTGGAGACACAGAAACCTTTAATTATACCACCTTTTGGATAACAAAAGCAAATTTGAAATTTCGCGTAATTTAAACAAAAAATGATAATCCGATCGACAGACTTGATCATATCTTCCTTCCAGTATTTATACCAAGCTAGTTGTTGGTGTAGTGATGGCAGACCTGTCCTTCCCACATAGTCCTTCGAAAAACCAGCAAATATGAATATTTACTTCATTCATTATTTTTATGAGATTTTAATTACAACTGGTATAATTTTTTTAATAATTTATCTACTAGAGCAAGACGATAAGCAAAAAGGTTATCCGAAGGATTATTTAAATTGAAACATTCATCGATAGAAAGATCTATCGAAAATTATTGTGCAAATAGGGCAGATTATAAAAACCCTATGGGCAGCCGACTGAGTAATTATTCGCGATTAGAACAGTCGACTTTTTCCTATCGCCAGTATTTCCGGACGTTGTCTCACTTATTACCTGGTTCTATGTTTTCAAAGTGGATTGTGACGAAGTTGTCCCTTTCCCAGCGGTTCTGCTCGTGAAGGAATCCGATGGCGTGCATCATCTCGTGCATGACTGTGCCCTTCTGCACGAGGCATCCGGGCGACTGCAGGTTGAGCTCTTGAGCACCGCCGACCCTACCGACGGAAGACCAACAGCCGGTGTTCTCGCTAGTTATCAGGAGATAATCTGCCTCTTTCGTCCTGGGTACAAATCTGAAACAGCGTTATCGACTATGAACTTAACTGGGACAGCATATTAAGGTGTAAGTGTAAACCAAAAATAAGCCAAGTGTAAAATAAAAATAAGTCTAAATCTGGCTTGCACAAAACGAGAACTGAAGAAAACCCTTTGGCTAGCCGAATTTCCGAGTCTAAGCAGCTCATTGAGTATGGATGTACTCTTGTGAACTACGTTAAAAACAGGAATTAACAGCAACGTTACCGAAGTTCGACATTTTGGTCATCCCAAGTTAAAAAGACTTACACTTCCTACATCCTCCAGATGTCTGCCCCAAGCTTATATACAGGGTTGCAACAAGCTCAAATGGCTGCTGCCTGGTAGGCGGAAAAATTGCTAAAGCAGTGGAAGTGGAAACATTCGTTAACCTGGCATTACCTGCAAAGGCTTCTTTCTGCTACTTCAAGTTTATAAATATTCCTCCGGAGTCTGCAGTGTCTGATCCAACTATTATTGAGTCCTAACACGCCCTAGAATTAGCAATGTGCCGTTGCTCTGCAGTGGTTCTTTGATGAACTTTTTCGCATACCTAGTCCTAGAAGCAGAATGCCTAGAACACAGAATGCGCATAGAAGTCCTAGACTATAGAATGCCATAGAACCGAGGACTTAACCCATTGTCTGATGAATCTACGATTTTAGCAGTTTGGTACGCCGCAAAAGGGTTCTGTTCTTATGGTTGTCCTCATCGAACTTATCTTGGGCAATTTATCAGCCTCTTCGTATAATAGTGAGTTTTTGTTTCCCCATTTCCCAATGTCCCAATGTCCAAACTCAGCCTGCGTACGATCTATTATCTTATTTAAGTACGTATGAATTAGTATTCTATGCTGCTATGAACTTTAACAGCAATGTGTTTTTTCGACCTGCCTATCCTGACTGCTAGGGTCTGCGAAATGCGTGTAGGTTTCCCGCGTACCCAAGGGGAAATCTCACGATGTATTAGTAATATTAATAATGTTGAACTGGTTAATTAATTATGTTAATTAATAATGTTAATTAATTATGTTGGTTAATTAATAATGTTGAAATATTTCTTCGTGAAAAACTGGAGATGCCGAAACGTGACTGATGACCAACCAGGAAAGCCAGACCAAAATGATCGGAAACAACCAAACTACTGGATCTCCTACTGGGTCCGTGTACAGTTGTGAATTTCCGTTAGACGGACCATCTCGTCAAGTAGACCCAGTGCCTGTTCAACTGTAATTTTAATTTTTGGGTAAAAAAATCAATGTCATATATGGGATTGCGATTCGAACACGCTCTTTGGAACTATACCCTGAGCGAACAACCCTCACCAAGACTGGCACAATCACTGCTGCAACTGGAGAGGGCTAAACGCAGAGGAATGGTAAGACTACTAACCGGTCACTGGCATCTGAGAAAACATCTACACAACATGGGCATATACAATTATGATCCCAACTGCAGATTAATAATGAGGAGGAAGAAACAGTCACACATATCATCTTCGAATGCGAAGCAACACCTCAATGGAGATTCAACCTAACATACGAAAAAACTTAGGGAATGAAATTAAAGCAGCGACAGTCAATGACCTGATACTTCTCAGGAGAAAGATAGAATCTATTGCCCTGAACTAAAGAACTAGGAAGGTACAATAAGCCAGAAGGCTACAGTGCCTGGGGAGTACAAACCCCGCTTCCTAGTATCCTTATTACCATACCATACCATACTATACAACAAATTAATAAACTAGCAATATTTTATGAATTTTAATATTTATAATGTGCAATTTTTTTCGTTTCTGATCGTCCTAGTTTATTTTGATCTAAACGATTTCAATTTACCAGATTACAGGTATATCCTGCAGAACGACGAAGTTAATATGATAATTTTCTGCAGCAAGATTAGGCGAACGTGATATAGATAGTTAAAATGATTTTACCTGATACAGGTCAATTTGTGGTATTCTTTCATGGCGGCATCGATGGTCGCTCTGTCCTTGGCGTTGAAAGAAGCTCCAAAGACGTACGGGATGACACCTTTTGGCCATCTGGCCGACTTCGCCTTCAGCCCATTCCTGGATTTAGGCGAGGGGAAGAGTATGTCTCCTTCGGCGTAGGCCCCGAGTTCTTCAGGGTTGTTTTTGTGGGATGGGAGCCACCTGGAGACGGCCTCACCCGTTTTGTTGTCGGGCCCTTTCCAGAGGTTGTCACCGAAACCGTTCAGATACTTCATGATCCCAAGATCTTCGTCGTCTTCTCCGCTGTCGCTGATGAAGTTGCTGAAGAAGCCAGGCCGACCGGCTACCAAACTGGCGCCTATCAGTATAACCACGAAACTCCGGTGCATGTGCATGTCTCGTTTGCTGAAACGACTCGACGTCGCCCATTTATAACCGAATTATCTCGCGTGGCCCGTTCGCTTAGATATACCCGAAATATCAACGTCCGGTCGGATCCGGAGAAAAATACAATCACCTGAGTGTTCTCATACATAGTTATCAGGAATCCGATGGAAATTAATAATATGTTTTCTGGTTGACGAATGTCCAGTAAAAATGTTACAGATAAAACTGAAAGACGGGTGTCAACTCCGTTTGCGATATCTTCCTTAGCGTGTGAATAGCCGATACTGACAAACCTGGAATAATCTTTAGATTATACACATCCTGTAATTATAGGAGACAATGTTTTGTTTATATACGCGATAAAAGAGCCAAACACAGGTTTGTGTTGTTTTCAAATAGCTAGCTAGTGTAAAATACTATATTTAATATAGAATTACTAGGTAGGAGTGCTGTACACTTTCGCTTTAATCAGGCTAAACAAATTTTTAGTTAGGTTTCTTGCCTTCCATTAACATGACGACTATTGTTCAATTAATTATCTTTAATGATAACATGATAATTGATATATCATTTGGGATCCTGCATATATTCCCCATACCGTGTTTAGACTTCTAAACCCAGAGGTTTGCCACTACTATGGTGCAGTATGTAAATGAGTACTAAATGAACAAATATTTTTTGTTAAAAAAACTCGAAAATGAAACAAAAAGCTAAAAAAATTGAAAATCAGATGACCAGAAGTATCTGAAATAAATGTTTAAACGTAATAACCACCAGCGTCTTATGCGAGATCATCAACTTCATGAATGAATGAATAATAGTATTTATTTACATGCAATACAACAAACTCAAAATATGTTACAAAATACATGGACAACAGTCCGTCAGCCGGAGTTGATGTGAGCAAACACAGAATAATAATAATAAACATACATGAAATAATTAAATTAAATTAGTCTATGAACATACTAAAAATACTGCGATTAAATTAAACAAACTTACAAAAATTAAATAAATGAATAAATCAAAAATAATAAAAATAAAGCAATACTATAGAAGAAAATCGAAGAAATAGTAATAATAAAAGCTAACAAAATAAAGAGATATTGTAAAACATTAATAATTAAAGTGTTGGACTAGCTCGAATCTGTAAGTCCAAGCATGGCGAGCAAATCTGATGAGAGGACGACACAGACGGCCATCATTTAACATTGCTATGAGTGCGGGCCTGGTCAGCCTCGCCAGGCCAACGTGCAGGTCGCGAATCTTGCAGAATCGAACATTCGGCGACAAAATGAAATGTGTTTTCCACCGCTCTGGAATTACATAGAGGGCACAATTCAACTACTTTTTCCATCCATGAAGTGTAATTTAAGAATAGCAACTCGCACTTCAATTTAAATAGCCAGCGGAGCTCTCTAAACGACAGACCACACGACCGGTCCGCAATCAGGCTGCATATGCCCGCACAATGATCAAGTTCCGGATATAATGTAAAACGGGACGGGACTACAGCTTTTTTCTGAAGCTCCTCATGGTGTGCAGATTTCATTTTACTCAATAAGGTGGCCAATTGGCCACTCCATAATGACATGTCTTCCACAGTCAATTCACAATTATATCTCTGAGCCAGATCAATCCAATTCCTAAACCAGAAAGTTTTGGCTTTTATTATTTCCAAGGCAGAGATTCTTGGCAATCTATGAGGAGGTAAGTATGTAACCTCGCACTAACATGTAATTCTAACATGTTTTCTTCTTTCCTGCTATTTAGTTTTTCTTTTTTCTTTTCTAGAAGTGGCAAGGATAATGAACTCAAAACCTTTTTCTTTTGCTTTTATTCTTCCACTATGCATTTCGGGGCCATTTTCCCGGCTTCTTCTTCTAACCCTCGACGGGACTTGCTAATAAATCGGACACCATTTTTTTTTAGCCCCAAGTTTTTTGCCAGAGTGTGTACACTGATTGATTCTGGACGAGAAGAAATTGGCGTCATTGAAGTTGAAGCACTTGGCACTGGTTGCTGAATGCTGCGTATGGGACGGATTTTTCCCGTGGGAAACTTCAATCTGCTCCCTATGAGCATTTATCCCAGCAAAACCTAACCGCGAAAAAAAGGTCATGTTCCAGAGCCCATCCAGAAAAAAAAAAAAAATGAGCCTATCAATGTAGTGATATCTACACTGTGGCCAAGACCGTTCTTTTTTTAGCCCTTAACATGAGAGAACTCCAAAGGAAAAGTTCTAGACACCCTCCCCAAAACAAGGCGACGTCCACGATGCTGTAGCGGACAAAAAAGTATGCTATCTCAACAAAAACCTAATGCTGAAAAAAGGCCAAGTTCCAAACCCACTCCAAAAAAAATTTGCCTAACAAAGTAGTGATGTCTATATTGTGGCCAACCTCACTTCTCTTCTATTTTTATGAGCAACATTGTTATTTTATTTCCTTAACATTTGGCCAGTTTCTGAATGAGCAATGAATCTGGGACTTTTTTTCTTCTGAGTTCTACCTCCCCTTCGCCCACCTCTCTTGTGTGAGCACACATGGTCCTGACTTTTAATCGTGATATCGCTACTTTGATAGGCTGACATTTTTTGGGAGGGAGTCTGCAACTTTTATTTTTTCTTTTCAGTTTTCTCAAGTTATGGATTAAAAGAAAGAACGGACTTGCCGACAGTGTAGATATCATTACATTGATAGACTAATTTTTTGTGTGTGGGTCTTGAACTTGGCCCTTTTTCACGTCTCGTTGGGATATCATACATTTTTGTTCGCTTCAACATGGTGGACTTTTTTTTCTTTCTTTTTTTTTTTTGCGAGAGGGATCATAGTTAATCAGATGAACTCCCTGGAGGCTTATCAACCTAGACAAATTACGCTTTGGCCATACGAGAATATTGAGTTACCAACGTCTAATAAAACATTTGACAAACTTAATCCTTGACTTGACTTTTATGAATGGTATGGCGTAAGCCAAGCAGAGGAAATTGAATCTGTGCGTATGACATGAAACTTAGTCGGAATCCGTTCTGTCATGCACTAAGCCATGCGAGGACGCGAGGACTTCATCTTGATTTTATGTATAACGAGCGGTTGTCAATGGGGAGCAGTAATTTAAGAAAATTGCAATATTCAGATTTTTTCTTTTACTCACTATAAAAAAAAACCTACCATTCTTCAAATTTCACGGTTCTACCTATACGGGAATTACGTTATAATTTTGATGGTCAGTGAGTCAGTCAGTAACAAAAATGCAAATGTTGAAATTCTCCCCTTCCGAAAAGGTTTGATATTAAGTGCTCAAATTTTTATACAGTCCTAAGCGACCTAAGCTTAATTAATGTTTCAAATTGCAAAAACCCCTCTTAAGAGAAAGTAGAAATATGAGGGTGAGAAAAACCGAGTAATACCTTTTCTAGAAAACTGCTCAATCGATTTCTATTTATTTATTTTATTCAGCGTATCAAAGGGTTTATTTTGCTAATACAGTTTTCCGATTAATTAAGTAAAACATTTTTTACAAGTTTTGGAAAAAGACCTTTTAATTTTTGGCAGTTTGTAAAAAAGTAACGAGTTGGTTTTAACACTTTTCTTCCTAGCAAAATAAAGTTTTTCGGTGATAAACATATACAAAAAATTAGTACAACTGTTGTAAATTTGAATTGTAAAAGTTCAAGTTGATTTGAAAAAAATTCAATTAGATTTCAAAAAATAGAAAACCTCTTTTCTGGTAAAAATTCAATTTGATTAGAGAAAAAGATCAATTTGTCAAGTAAAAGCTCAATTTGATTTGGAAAAACTGAATTCGTCTGATAAAAGTTCAATTTTTATTTGGAAAAATTTAATTTGTCAGATTAAAGTTGAATTTCGTTTGGAAAAGATCAATTCGTATTGGAAAAAATTAATTTGTCTGGTAAAAGATAAATTTATTTTGTTATTTCTAAGTTAAAAGTTAAAAAGTTATTTCTATTATAATAAGTTCTATTTGAATTTTTAAAAATTCAATCTGGTTTTGAAAATTGCAATTTTTTTTAGTAAAAGGTAGATTAGATTTGAGAAAAAATTATTTTTCCTGGTAAAAGTTCAATTTAGTTTGGAAAGGTTTAATTTGGTTTAAAAAAATCGATTCGTTTTGTAAACGTTCCATTTGACTTGGAAAAATTCGAATTTTTCTAGTAAAAGTTCAATAGCATTTGGGAAAGTTCAATTTGAATAGTAAATGTTTAAATTGATTTGAAAAAAGTTCAAATAGAATTTGTCAGGTGTCGAATTTTATTTGGAAAAAACTTAATTTGTCTAGTAAAAGTTCAATTTTCTTTGGAAAATGTCCGTTTTATTGGTAAAAGTTCAATTTGATTTGGAAAAAAATTTATTTATCTGAAAAAAGTTCAATTTTTTATGGAGAATTCAATTTATCAGGTAAGAGTTAAATTTTTATAGAAAATTCAATTTTTTTAGATAAAATTTTAATTTTTTTATGGAGAATGCAATTTATCAGGTAAAATTTCAATTTATCCGGTGTTCAATTTTTTATTGAGAATTCAATTTGTTTGTTAAAATTTAATTTTTTATGGAAAATTCAATTTGTCAGGTAAGTTCCTTTTTTTAAAATTCAATTTGTGTAGTAAAAGTTCATCTTATTTTAAAATTTAAATTGTCCCGTAAAAGTACAATTTTTTATGAAAAATTCAATTTGTTTGGTAAAATTTAATTTTTATGGAAAATTCAATTTGTAAGGTAAAAGTTTTGAAAAATTCAATTTGTCAGGTAAAAGTTCCTTTTTTAAAATTCAATTTGTCTAGTAAAAGTTCATCTTATTTCAAAATTTAAATTGTCTGGTAAAATTTAATTTTTTATGGAAAATTCAATTTATCAGGTAAAAGTTGAAAAATTCAATTTGTCAGGTAGAAGTTTCTTTGTTAATAATTCAATTTGTCTAGTAAAAGTTTATCTTATTTTAAAATTTAAATTGTCAGGTAAAACTTCATCTTTCTTTTAAATTCAAATTGTCATGTAAAAGTTCATTTTTTAAATTTAATTTGTGTGTAAAAGTTCAGTTTTTTATGGAGAATCAATTTGTCCAGTAAAAGTTGAATTCTTTTGGAAGAATTCAATATCTGATAAAAGCTGAATTTATTTGGAAAAAGTTCAATTTGTATAGTAAAAGTTCGATTTAATTAAAAACATTTAGTTCAGTTTACTTTAGAAAATATCAATTTGTCTGCTATAAGTTCTATTCGATTCGGCAACCTAAAAATTGTTTGTAAAAAGTTCAATCTGATTTGAAAAAAGTTCAATTTTTATAGTAAAAGTGCGATTTAATTTAAATAAAATTAGTTATAACAAGTTCGTTTTGAAAAAAAAATCGTAAAATTCGGTAAAAGTTTAATTAAAAAAACTCGTTTGCCTGGTATAAGTTCAATAAAAAAAATATTTAAAAAATCGATTTTTCAGGTAAAAGTATGTTCTAGTTGATTCCACAACCTTTAATTCATTGCCAAAAGTCCAATTTTGTTTGGAAAAAAATTCAAGTAATTATGTGGTACATGTGTTAAAATAAAAAAAAATAATAATAAATATGAGAGATCATGTTTCCTTTCATTGTTAAAAGTTATTCAATGCAATAAATATTTTATTTCTGTTCAATGAACTATTACAATTGTTAAAGTTATATAATATTTAACTGAGTATTAAGTTGTTCTAGAGGCATCTCCGTTGGTCAGTATAATTGTATTTACTTATAAAACAATCAAAAAAGTGCTTTTATATTTATATTTAAAGTATGAACTCGATTTATTTTTTTTTGTTTGTTTAGGGATGAGTAATATTTAAAAATGAAGATAATCGTTTAGCCGATGTCTGCCAGTTGTGTGAGAGCCTGTAGGAGAACCTGCCGTCTCTAAGCCTCATCCCGGTTTTCAGGTTAGGTAAACGGAAACCTATCTCGAGTCGAATCGAGTCCACTTCGCGTCTTTAAGCCCAAAGCCCCCAGAGACAGAGAGCCGTTTTAAGCCAGAACTTCAGAGATGGCAGAGCCCGAGCCGGACGATCCGATGAACGAGGATCAGTGGCTGTACGGCGATTCGACCGGAGACGTGGAGCCGCCGAAGCTCCCGCAGGAAGAGGAAAAGGAGCAGAAACAGGAAAAAGAAACGGAACAGGAGAAGGAACAAGAAACGGAACGGGAAGAGGGAGAAGCAGAGGACGACGAACCGCCCCCGACTGAACAGCCGGAAGGACAGCAAACACCGCAGGTACTCTCGGTGTTAAGGTTTGAATCTCTGCCTGTCGACTAATCTGTTTCCTTAGCAGGGAGAAGAACAGGAAAAGGAACCCTTGGAAGAAGGAGAACAGCCTGATCAGGGCAGCGATCAGATTGAGAAGCCGTCTGAAGAAGGTGGCTCTCCTAGAGAAGGTTTGTATTTATTTTTTCAAAAGGGTTATTTTACTGCTCATATTATATTGTTTAATTCTCAAATGTATGTTATGTATGGTTTTTTATGTTGAACTGATTGATGCTGACCTCTTTACTTGGTCTGTCAGGCTCAATCTGACAATAACATGCGAATGCACTGAAAAAGGCGTTAGTTTTTTGTTTATTCAGGCAAAAATGATGGGAAAACCATCAATAATACAAACAAGCTTATTAATTCTGTCGTAAAGTTTGTTTGTATAGTGGGGTGATGAACCTGTAATTTGGTCATGATCTTTTTGGTCTGTCAAATTTATTTCAGCATTTTCCCATCTTCAGTGTTGAGTTCGTGTGATTTATGTGAGGCAACATTCATTTATAAGGTTGTGGGGGATGGGGATACATTGGCGCTATCTTTGTTTGTCGATACCTTTGATGGATTAAGTTCGGTGGAAGATAAGCAGATCAAAATGATTGGTAACTACCTAATTATAATTTTTAGCTTGGTCGTTTCTTATTATTTTGGCCGTTCATACATTTTTTGTCTTTTCGCTCTCTTCAGAGCCAAACTACAAGTGATCACCTTGCAAACCATGAGAGAAAATCGCTTAATATTGAAGTGTAGTATTTTGAAATGAATGCCACCGATCACTTTACTGTGTACATATATTCTCGCTGGTTAAAATTTTACGCACATTATTGTCGGTATCTTTGGTGGATTAAATCTGAGTGACACACCAACAAAGTGACTATACTCACCTGATCGAAATGGTAACAACCAAAGTAAAATTTGTAGTTTACTCATTTCTTATTACTTTTGTGTGTGTTATTTCTATGAAATAAGTCTCTTTTGTAACGTCATGAGGGATGGCATGCAGGCGTTGGCATTATCTTTGTTAAAATTATATTGTATAAATTCCATTTGGTTTTGAAAACTCAGTTTGTTTAAAAAAAGTTCAATTTGATTTAGAAAAAATAGATCTGTTTAGTAAAAGTTCAATTTGGTTTAAAAAAAAATCAATTTGGTTTAGTAACAGTTAAACTTATGTTGTATAAATTCAATTTGGTTATGAAAGAGTTCAATTTAACTGGTAAAATTACAATTTCATTTGGAATAAAATTCAACTTGGTTAAAAAAAAAATCTCTTTACATTGTACAAGTTCTATTTGGTTTTTACAACTGTCAATTTGTTTTTAAAAATGTTCAGTTTGATTTGCAAAAATATTTGATCTGTTTGGTAAAAGTTCAGTTTGATTTAGTAAAAGTTAAAGTTATATTGTATAAGTTGCATTTGGTTTTGAAATAGTTTAATTTATCTGGTAAAAGTTCAATTTCATTTGGAATAAAATATAACTTGGTTAAAAAGTAATTCAATTTACATTGTAAAAGTTCATTTTGGTTTTGAAAAGTTAAATTTATCTGGAAAAACTCAATTAGATTTTGACAATTGTCAATTTTTTATTTATTTAGAAATCATGAATGCGGTCTTGTGTGATGTAGGTTTCAGAAAAACATTTTCTTTATCGTGCCAACGTGATTGAATATATAAAAAAATATATTTTGCATTGTATAAATTCACTTTTCCACATCCCAAATGTAATTGTTATATGTAAACAATGTTTGTAAATCCCAGGCCCTGAAGATGATCTCAATAAAGATCGAAACGTTGGCACGAAAAAGAAAATGTTTTTCTGAAACCTACATCACACCAGACCGCATCTCACAATTTCTAAATAAATATCGATTAACGGTCACTAATCAACACACAATTGTCAATTTGTTGAAAAAAGTTCAATTTATCTGGTAAAAGTTCAGTTTCATTTGGAATAAAATTCAACTTGGTTAAAAAATAATTAAATTTACATTGTAAAAGTTCAATTTGGTGTTGAAAAGTTAAATTTGTCTGGAAAAACTCAATTAGATTTTGATAATTGTCAATTTGTTGAAAAAAGTTTCAACTTATCTGGTAAAAGTTCAGTTTCATTTGGAATAAAATTCAACTCTGTTACAAATAAAATAATTAAATAAAAATAAATAAATTTGCATTGTAAAATTCAGTTTGGTTTTGAAAAGTTAAATTTGTCTGGAAAAAGTTCAATTAGATTTTAACAACTGTCAGTTTATTAAAAAAAAGTTATTTGATTTAGAAAAAATTGATCTGTTTGGTAAAAGTTCAGTTTTGTTTAAAAAATCAATTTGGTTTAGTAACAGTTTAAGTTGTATTGAATAAGTTCCATTTGGTTGGGAAGGAGTTTAATTTATCTGACAATTAAGTTATAAAGTTCAAATTCATTTGAAATAAAATTAACTCAGTTAAAAATTAATTTGAAATAATAATCAATTTGCATTAAAAGTTCAATTTGGTTTTGAAAACTGAGAATTTGTTAAAAAAAAGTTCAGTTTGATTCAGAAAACAATTCAACCTGTCTGGTAAAAGTTAAATTTGGTTTAGTAAAAGTTAAAATTGCATAAGCTCCATTTGTTTGTAAAAGAGTTTAATTTATCTGGTAAAAGTTCAAATTCATTTGAAATAAAATTAACTTGGTTAAAAAAAATTGAATTTTCATTGTAAAAGTTCAATGTAGTTTTGACAACTGTCAATTTGTTAAAAAAAAGTTCAATTTAATTTAGTGAAAGTTAAAGTTAATAAAATTTAACTTGGTTGAGAAAAAAAATTATTATTATTAAACAAAACTTCAATTTGATTTAGAAAAAATAGATCTGTTTGGTAAAAGTTAAAGTTTATTGTGTATAAGTTTAATTTTATTTAGAAAATTTATAGTTGATTTAATTGTAATTTAATTTTGATAATTAGCTGGTCAGATTGACGCTGGCCAAGATGACGAAGATGAAGAAGATGACGATGACAGTGAAGATGATATAAGAGTTACAATCGGCGATATAAAGACAGCACCTCAGTATTCAAATATTAATATAAAGAGAGGAGCTGTATTATCATCAGGGGTGGACAAACTGAATAAAGTAACCAGCTTTGTTTAGTGCAGTTTATGTTTTATGTCTGGTTTGTAGTTGTAAATTTGATTTGAAATTTGGCAGATACAACCTGGAAAATTTTCTATTGAAGAATTTGAAAGCATAGGAACAATTAATGGCCTACCAGCTCATGAGTTTAGCATTGACGCACTCGAGGAAAAGCCTTGGAGAAAGCCTGGTGCTGACATAACAGGTAAGAAGTACAATTGATGTATATTAGTTCAAGAAAAAAATAAAAATAATGTGTTTCAGATTATTTCAATTATGGTTTTAACGAAGACACATGGCGGGCGTACTGTGAAAGGCAGAAACAAATGAGGGTGCATGAGTCGGGGGTTGGTCTCGGTGGACTTGGTGTTTCAAGAACCAATCAGGCTCTAACAATCATCAATGACAATTCAAAATACTCGTCATTAAACAATAGTAATATTGTTGTAAATAATGCTTCGGCCACGACTACCGGCGTGATGTCAGCGGCTCAGCGCAAAGCAGGGCCGCCTCCTGGGCCACGAAGGAGTGGTGTAATCGACGTCATCGGTGTTGGTGGAGTGGCTTCAAGGCGCACCACAGACTCTCCACCGAAAGAAAACGTCATCCAGGTGTGTTATAAATTTAAAATAATTCTAGTTGTCATTTAGATAAAGTAAATTTTAAATGTCCTTTAGAATAATGAAGTGGTGGGATTCTAAACATTTATAAGCTATTTAATGATTGTGGTAATTCTAGTTCCTGTTGTCAATATTTTTTAACCCATTTAATGCGGGACCGAAATCTGAGACCTTCACCCAGCTACTGATTTTTTTTTCCATGAGACTTGATAGGTTGATTCTATCTAGATTCTAATTATTGGCAAATGATGTTTTACAACTCAAAAGTGCATTTTTGTAAGGTTTTAGTTCGTGACTCCACATTGGAATCAACCATAAGTGGCAAAAGTCTGAGTATGCAAACCCACAACTCAATATCTTTGGTCTTATTTTATTAATTATTTAGAATTTTTGTTTTTTAAATCATGTCAAAAATTTATTTTGACGACTTTTTCTCCACCAATGTGTTAATGAGGAAAAATATTTGCTGAACAAAAAAGAAGAAAAACACTTATTTTTAAATAAGAACAATTTTTTCCCTCTAATATTTACAGTTGTTATAATCCGTTTTTTTTTTAATTTTTACAAAATTAATTTAAAAAGAGAATAAAATTATTTAAAAAACAGCAACACCATATTTACTATAATAAAATTGTATATTTACTATTTTTTCACTCATTTGAATTGTTTCAAATAAAAAAGTTAAAAAAGAATATAACTAAAATAAAATTAAATTAAAAAAAATAAAAACCAAAATAATGAATATTTTTTTATTACTTGCATGATATAAAATTTTTGTTTTCATGAAATTAAAACAAAAAAACATGTTTAATGCATATGTTGCATGCATACATCCCCGGCTTGTTGCAACCCATCCAGAAAATGTCCAAATGGTCCCAGCTGTAGTGATTCTGAAAAAAATATTATTATTGCACATTGTAGTAAAATAAAAATACAAATCAAAATTTAAAAATAACTGTGACGCAGTTGATGAATTTTGTAAAACAATATTTACCTGGGTCATCCTGGCTTTCTTCAATTACATGAAAACGGAGGTAAAATAATGTGGAAAAACGTTTTGAAGTCTCAGAGAGAGGGGCTTGACTTCCTCTGTAGTCACTTGCATTGAATGTGTTAAATATATTGAACATAAAACCTATGTTTTGTAATTTGGTCATTGCCGATAATCGCGGTCTGCCTGTCCGCTATGTGTTGGTCTGTCAGACACGTTTCATTGATACATCTATTTTTATAAAATGCAATTATGCCCTGTCGAATTTTCGACCATATCTCACATTTGCATAAGCTGAAAAATAAAACAATTAAAATTACTTGGAATGTAATCAAAGCCATCACAAATACAGATAAGTTGAAAATCACTCTCCATGACGTAAAAACAACATGTAAACCCATCGTAGGTGAGAAGCCTAACACTACAGATCAAAACAGGAATGAGAGGCAGAACAAAATGATCAGAATCATCTCTGATATCAACCATATATCTCAAGAGGAATTTTAAAAAATCTAATAATATGTTACTATCTTAGATCAGTTATAAATGGATACGAACAGGATTACCACAATCCAGCTGCTATGATATTCCATAATTAAAATTTTGTTAATTGAAATTTCTTGACATAAGATTTTTTGTTTAGTTGCCTGCCCCTGCTGGGAGGGATTTTGTTAGGCCGCCGACAAATATCTTACAAGTACTTGCAATTTCATTTCTGTTTGGCTTTAATTTTCTTTCCCTTCATTATCGAAAATCGACTGAAAACTTGATAGAAAAGCCCTTGCTGAATAATAGTACAATAATAGTCGATGTAGATACTTTTGCTTATATTTCATTGGAAAACTGTTGACGTACGATCGCAAGAAATGATTTTTAGAAATGTTGAAGGTTGGGTGAGTATGTAGATTCACTTTTTTTAAATGGTGGTAAACGCTGGTGGTAGATGACATCATTTACAAAAAGTAAAAAACAAAAACAAACATATTAAGTAATAATAAAAATAATAAAGTATATTTAGTATTTAAAAACTTTTATAGCAAGTTTGCACGTCTATCAGTTTGATACTATTAGAGGATACATAATGTACAAATTAATCAAAATTAATCATTTAGATTAATGATATATATGCTGTTATATAATTTATTAGTCCTTGTAAAATATCTATGCACAGAAAAACAAAAAAATAATAATAATGTTACAACTTTTGCATGGTATTTCATTTTATATTAATTTTTCTCTCTCTCTTTCTCTTATTTTTCCAAGAGAATAGGACATTGCACAACAAAATTATATGCATCTTCTTTACCAGACATAGAGAATGTGGGACATATGGTTTTTATTTTTTAAAAATAAAAAAAATCCTTGTCATACTTCCTGATTACTGTGAATGATTCCGTTCTAACATTAGGAATGGCCAAGGAGACTGACAAAGGGAGCTAACAACATGGGGTCACTAATATTAACAAAACTTTTGTTTGCAATACTAGATTGAAAAATAAATAGACATGATGATCGACAAATTAAAAGAAGTGAAACAATCAAACAGTGGGCCATGGAGAGAATGGATAAAAAACAGAGAATAGTGTTGACTCGACTGTGAATAGGCCACACCAGACTGATGTATGGTCAATTCCTTATTAATAAAAGCCCATGGAGATGTCCCCTGTGCAGCATACAAGCAACCGTTAAACATATACTGATCCATTGCAAACAATTGGCACGCAACTGTGGCCTTTCTTCTAGTCTCATAGCAAAAATTAAAACAGCAGTGTCTGCAGCAAAAAGTTGATTGAATCCCTGATGCAAACAAATATGACCACATGTAATGTTTTTTCCTACCTGAAAATGTATGATGCTGATGATGTATTTATTAGCGTGAGTGTTGAGTAAGTGTGAGTTGTGGCAGAATATAGAGTACCCCACAGACCCACCAAACTAGGTTAGGATTTTCCTATGATTTGGCCCACTAAATTGGGTTAGGTGTTTTTAGGCTGGAATGGGGGCACAGGCAAAATATTAATACCCCTGTGGCTCCCCAATTTTTAGTTGTAATATGGCATGAAAACTTATAATCAAAATGACTGTATTTATTAGTGTGAATGAGGGCAGGCCTTCAGCAGAATATCAATTACCTGAAACCCACGAAAATATGTTAGGCTAAGTATCAAGGTTTAGGTATATATTAGTTATAGAGCCTTTTTACCATGTGTGAAGGGGTAATTATTATGAGTAGAAATCAAGTCCCAGAAGTTTCATCAGAAAGATGCTACGCTTACTGCAGGGGAAAAATGTGAGATAGTGGTAATAGCCCTGGTAGCTAGTTGGCTGGTGAGAGGGGGGATGGGTGTATTTACATAACTTTTCAAAAAATAAGTTTTTCCCTTTGAATACCATTCAACTTTTTTCTTTGTTATCTATAAGAAAATAGTATGCAGAATTGTATTAAATGAGATTAGATGTATGTAAAGTTGCAAAAAGAAAATGACATTTCTAATAAAAGTGTTTCAGGTGTGTTTTAAGTACTCTATAAAGCCCTTAAATACAACTTTTTATGGCACACAAAAAAATAGCAATTAGGCTGGATTAGCAGGGCAATTTTTTCCCTCCGATGTCTTGTTCCACTTTAAAATGTATAACTCCAGTAGATTTTATCCAACTGTACAATAACTGTTGGAAACCTTGATTATTCTACATTGAACAATGTTTAGATTTTATATCATTATAAATGAGAAAAATATAGATGAAACCGACAAAAACACCTCAAACCTTTTATTTTATATCTCTTGTTCTAATTTATTTACAGAAGCGATGTTTGTGCTATTACATGTAGTTTATAGGGTTCTAAACCCCCATAAAGTTTCCCTTGGGGTCAGTTGAATAGTTTCAAAGTTATCACCGTTTTTTTTAATGATTTTTGAAAAAAATTAGAAGGGGGATGAAAAAATTGTACTGTTAGGTTATCGGGGTACAAAAAACAAATATTAACATCATTTCTTGCCATAAAAATAAATTTAACATACTTTACTTTGTTCGATCACGTCAAACTCGTAATTGGCAGCTAGCCGTAGCATGGGTATCGTAAATATTGAAAGACATAATTCATGACCAAAGTCACATTACGTTATTGTAGGTTATTTATTATTTATTACTTTTTTTATAATAAGAAACAAAATTGATATTGTTTTTTTCATCCCTAAATACCCCTGAATACAAATTTTTAGGAAAATTAAAACAAAAAATTGTTTTCCTCAATATTTTATTTAGTCTCCTTTTTTAAAATAAATAATCACAAAAATGATAATAACTTTAGAACAACTCCACTGAAAATTCAAAATAAATTAGAACGAGGGATATAATATAAAAGGTTTAAGGTGTGTTTGTTGATTTCATCTGTATTTTTTACACTTATAATGACATAATACGTAAACACAGACTGCCTGAAAGGAGAAATATTCTCCTTTCAAACAGTTGTATAAACATACAATTTAGATAAAAAACAGAGGAGTTAAGCATTTTTAAGTGCACCACGGGACATCAATGGAAAAAAAAGAAAATTCCTATTTGGGGGTTAAATGGTGCTTAATTTGAATCCGAATTTTTTTCTTGAAAAATTTAGTGTTTTGACCTACTTAACTACTGGTCATGTCTTTTGGTTTTTGTAACTTTTTATATATTTCTTCATATGTAATACGATCCTGCTTATAATTTTCTTATCCTATGAATAAAAAAATCAAATCGACTGATTGCTAATAACCTTGATATACATGAAAAGCAAGGGCAGGAAAAATTACTTAAATTACCTGAAATATTCTTTCCCTCAGCTCCTATGGCCCATTGACAAGAATGCAAGGACATGTCTCTAATAATTTTCGAACTTGTATCACCAAAACATTCAAAAGTTTCTTAAGGCAGTTTATAAAATGAAAAATACAGAGTAAAGTGGGCTTTCAATTTTTGTACAATTTACTATAGCATTACAACCTCTAAAAATGTATTTATAATTTGATAAATTTATTAAAATGTTAACACAAATATCAAGCATCGTATTCTATTGATAACTTGAGGACATCTCAACATATTTTATAATATATATTGCAAAAAAAGTAGACAAATATTGCTACATTGAAAGCTTTTTGATGCATATTTCATTATTATATAATTTTCCTCTTAATTAATAAGTTGATTCATTGAATATTAGTAGAAGGTCTGGCTCATAGTTAAAACTTTAAAATAGCATGGATTGTTATACTTACTTTACGAACTGTACAAACCAAGGTTTATCAATGAATTGTACATATGAATATTTATATTTTTAATATTCTACAGTGAGTTTTGTCTTTATCCTGGGGTTTAGCATGGAATTAATGAGCATGAAATAACGTTTATCTTCAATTTAAAAAGTTTTGAATCCATATTAGATAAATTTGTATTTAACCCTTAACCTCGGCAATGTGTCATATTCCATACAAGGTGTATTTTATTTATTTATTGTAACTTGTTGAAGTAGTGAGGAGCGGTCAGGTATGAAGTATTAAAAAAAAACATTTTTTAATTTTTTTGTTGTTGATGTTTTTCTAAAATATACTCACTACTTCAACAAACTATTGAGCAATCGCTAAATAACACACTTTTGTGAACACACTTCTAATTTAAAATTTGGCTGGTTTGAGTGTCTGAATCTAACTACACATTGGTTTTCAGCACAACTTTGCTACAACAAGCGAACCATAATTTTTTTCTGCTATTTACTTTTCAGTTACTTTTGGGCAACAATCTTATTTATTTCTCGGCTCATCCTTCAATTTTAATTGCCAAAATAATTTTTTCTGTGTTAAAATTAACTTACTTCTTGATATAACATTTTTTAATGTTAAAAACTATAAATGTTTGTTTTTATGACAGTTGCTTAATTAGACTGCTTAGCTTAGTAAGTCTTATTTTATTTAGTTTCATACCGTGGTATCTCGGGTTCTAAAGCAAGGGAGAGAATTTTCTTTCCCTCCTAAAAAAAAAGGTGTGGATTTTGATGTTGAGAGTGGGAAAAGATAAGCTGAGGATGACGAGATGGAAAATCAAAGCCAAGAACGTTCAAAGTCCTTGAATCGGAAGAGCATAAAGTTCTTGATTGTGAAGGGCATCATTTGGCTGTTGATAACTAACACTAATGCTAGTTGTGCACATGGAGGACACATGCCACGAAAAAACAGGCTGGCAGTGAGTGTGAGGTATTAAGGGTCAAGGAGGACTCGAGACCATTGTCGATTAAGTTGACGTGGCGGCTTCTCGGGTTGGGATGAAGTGAAGGTTCAACCAGTAGGGTTAGGATGGATCGAGAGGCTGATGAGAAACTTGTAATCAGGATCAATTGATAAAAGGAATGTTGAAGTCATTGTGGGTAGTGAAGTTTGTGATGTCTGAGGACTTTCTATTGGAAAGGTTCGATGCAGTGGATATTGGATGGCTTGACAAAACCCCACTCTGTGTTCAAAGTGGTCGCAGTAAAGGTTAGGTTATTGTTTCGGTCCTGAAGTCTTCGTAGTTGTCCAAGACTTCTGTTCATTTTTTGTCTCTTAAGTCTTATGTGGGGATTACACGTCAGTTTGCTGTCTAAGTATAGTACTAATTATTTGACTTGAATATATTGGTATCTCTTTGTTTTTGGAGTACAATGGAGGGCAAGACAGTTTTTTGTGAATGTACACTGAGTAGAGGACAAAATAGCACTATTTTCCGTGTAGATGGTTTAGGATGGTATTAGGGTGTATAGGTCAGCAGTATAAATGATATAAAGTATGGGACCAAAGATGCTTCCTTGTGGGACGCCGGCTTACTTCTGTCTGAATTCTGAGGATTGCCACACCTCACTCTGAAGCAGAGGTTGGTTAGATAGGATTTCAGTCGGTAGGAAGGGTTTAAGTTTAAACATGCCCAGTTGCCAGACCCCATCATAAGTCTGTGCTACATCCATGAATACACCCAAGCAATAATTTTTATTGAGCAGATAGTGCGACAACTGTGAAACCTTGTATCGTGGAATAATGAGGATGGCCGAATAGGTAAGAATTAATGATTTTATGAGTACCTAGGATGGGTTTTTAAGCATTTTAAAAGGAGAGTTGAAGGAAGAAGGCTGATGGTCTGTAACAGATGTGGTTGGAAATTTGTCATGATAATAATGATGGAATATTTCCATAAAAGAGGAAAGTGAGTGGTTGGAGGATGACATTATGTACTGTGGTTAGGTTGTCATTATTAAAGTTATCCTAGCTTATAACAGCTTTCCTGACCCTGTCAGCCATTTATTTTCACAGCTAATAGTAGTAATAACCTTGTAGGAACCGTTATAATTTTTTGCAACTTTGAGGGTTAAATTTATTCAAATTAAAAAAACCACAATATTTTGTACATAATTAATGCTTAATTAGGTATGGCTAGATCCGTTTGCATCCATTACATTGATACATTGATAAAATCTCATCATTTTCGAGATTATTGTTTAATTCTGTCTAATTATACAGGTTATGACTGCTGATAGAAGAGATTATGGCAGGAAGGGATTCGACATGTCTGTTCCTCCGCCTGGCTTTGAAGCGACACAACCCCCGATGGCTCCGGTAGTGCCCAAGTATGTATTTTATTTTTTATTTATTTTTTTAAACAACGCCTTGTACGTAGTAAAGAAAAAAATACAATTGGTACAAATTTCCTAGTTCAGAAGAAAACTATATACATTTGTATAACAAAACTACAGGCACCCTTGAGGTAGATTCTGTTTAAGGGTCGTCAGCAATACAATGGGACAAAAAGAAGGGCTGAGGGAAAACTAGAACATGGGGAACATAACATTACTAAACATGGCGAGAAAAAAAAAAAAAGTAATAACAGTTAAAACTGGCAATAATAGATTAAACAAACATGAAAAAGTAAGATTTTCCTTTTTAAATAGTAGGTACTTATTTTTCGTTTGGTTTTCAGCCACATACTCAAATAGCCAACATGACTTTTTCAGAAAATGTTTTGTAGTTTCTTTACCTTGTAGGGACCAACTTATGCCCTACATAGAGAAAACAATTCAACATAACTGTTAACAATGTTTTCTTATATTTCGACCTCAACAGTTTAACTTATGATTTTTCTTTCTTGAAGGTGGGATAATAGGTCATCTCAAAAAAAAACCACAACCAGTTTTTATTCACTTTTCGAATTTCTTTTAATCCTTCCTCAGGTGAGTTAACGCAATGGTTAAAACAGTGGTCGTCAATCATTAATATTTTATAACAGTTTATTTTAAAAAAGAGCCAGTGTGGTACATATTTAAGTCTTTCAGACTCCGAACAAATGTTTTAATAATTATTCAGAAATCGTGAGATGCTGTCTGGTGTGATGTAGATTTCAGAAAAACATTTTCTTTATCATGCCAACGTTTCAATCTTTATTGAGATCATCTTCAGGGCCTGGGATTTACAAACATTGTTTACATTTAACAAATACATTTAGGATGTGGAAAAGTGAATTTATACAATGCAAAATATATTTTTTATATTCAATCAAAGTATTTTTACTCACTCAAAGTGTTTGTCTTCTGTGTAATTGTGCCGTTTAATGTTTTAATATTTTGAACCTGACTAGCTAGTTGGGTGGATGGATGGTTAAAACATTTGTTCAGAGTCTGAAAGACTTAAATATGTACCACACTGGCTCTTTTTTAAAATAAACTGTTATAAAATATTAATGACTGATGACCACTGTTTTAACCATTGCGTTAACTCACCTGAGGAAGGGTTAAAATAAATCCGAAACGTTGTGGATAAAAACTGATTGTGGTTTTTTTGAGATGACCTATTATCCCACCTTCAAGAAGGAAAAATAAGCATAACTGTTAATTTTGGTTGGGGCAACACGCTATTTATATAACATCTCGTATCACATTTAAATTTTTTATATTTGTCGATATAATTTCCATCTATTAAAAAAACAACCTCACAGTTTGGAAAAGGTAAAATTATGATACAGGTAAAATGTGGTGTTCGAGAAAGAGAGTTTTTTTGTATTTGTATTTAAAAAACATTGCATGAATAATTTTTTCTATTTGGTTGTGGTTTTTTTTGCAGTTTTATGTGCACTCCCCCAGCATACCACAGCATATTGAATTTGCAATTGTATGAGGGCGTAATACACTGCTCCACAAAAAATGAGTGGTACACTTTGACATGTTGATATTTTTTTATAATTTAGGTATTCACTAAAATATTTGGTTAGTGGGAAAATAAAAATATCTCAAAAATAAAAAAATTAATTAAAAAAAGATATCTCTTTTGTGAACATAAAACAATATAAAACAAGCTTAACTATCTTTAGTAGGGTGTTGCTCTTATTACACACTCTAAACTTCTCAGCATGCTCATAATTAAGCTTTTAACGACTTCATAAGGATTTACATCCCAAATCTCAACTAATGTAGCTTTCAGCTCAGCTAAGACTGTAGGAGGGTTATTTTTCGTTTTACCCAACACCTGAGCTCATTCCAAAAGTACTCGATGTGCTTCAAATCAGGAATACCAACTACACACCATAGCAGAACCACCTCAGAATGACCTACTTCCGGTAGTGTAGCATTGGCTGTAGAGCTTTAGAGTTGCTCGATAAACTCGAAGATGTCCATCTGGTAAAAAAAAAGAAAACTGGGACTCATCTGAAAACATAACATTCCTTCATTACTATTTCCGTCCAATGTCAGTTCCCTTTGCAAACTCTAAGTGACGTCAGTCTCTACTGGTTGCTGGCCTTATGGGATGTAGAGTCTCCTTAGTTTTTCAGCGCTAACGACACATCCCGCACTGTTCAAAATCTTTGAGACGTTTCAGAAGCAGTGTAAAAACAATATTTCAGAGTATGTCGTCTGATAAAGTGGTCATCATCTGGTCCCTTTTCTCCTGGGCATCCTGATTCTGATCTCCGAGTACACCTTGCTATCTCCTGGTACCACTGGATGCCTGATAACTGACGTTTTAGGCAAATTTTTAAATACTTGTAGCATAACGCTGATTTCTTCCATCCTCAACTACTGCAACGGCATGGGCAACTTGCTCGCTGATGATTTTTGAATCGTTTTGTTTTGTGCCACCAACACAACTGTGAATAAAGGCATTTTTATAGGATTAAATTACCTTGATGATTTACATTGTGGAGATTTTAAATCAAATTATGAATTAAATGGTTTTGCCTCACTTTCAGCGACAAAAACAAAAAATAATTTTTTTAAGGTAGTAAAACAAAAAATATGGTCAGAACATTGTCAAATAAATAAATAAATAAAAATTTCAGTTTTTTTTTTTCTTTTCTTTTGTGGTGCCGTGTATATTTTAAGTAGCAAGGAGGTGTTACATTTGTTACATAGAAAATAAATTTATCTTAAACCATACGAAAATCATTTTTGTATTAAATTTACGAGAGTACCATTTTTAACAATCGTATTAAGGCCTAGATTTCTTGGACTTGATCCACGCATTTTTAAAAATTTGTTTAGTTAAAACAATTAACGATATTTTAACTAAGCATTTTTTTTTTAAATTTTAGTTATCCACCACATGGAGGGTACAACCAAGACTTCTACCAAGATGTCGATCATTATTATCAATCATACGAGCCAGCTCAAGACATGCAATGGAACAGCCAGGTAATTTTTTTTCGAATTGGATATGCATGACTCGACTAGCAGTGGATTGATTGCCAGCTTGTAAATAACAAAAATAAATACATTTGCACTTTTCTTAGGGTTTTGCACTCACCTCATATCGATTTTTTATTTATTGGTTCCATGATATTTAATTATAATTTTTTTCTTTGATTAATATTCGATTATAGGTAAGGAGCTCAAGGCATCGTGAGAAAAAGTCCCGTAATTCCTCTTTAATCCCTGATCATTCCAAAAGATCCAAGCCTGACAAATATATGCATGTTAGTAATCTTAGTGATGGTACTTTTTTTTAAATATTTATTCTTTGTATTTAGTTTCAGTTGGGTAAGGCTGACGAGGGGCTAATTTTGAATCGAAATTTCTTAACACTTTTTTCGAATTTCAGAATCCTCTGAATAAAGACGATCTACCTGGTGGCATGTCGATCAAACAGGAGCCGATGGACAAAAGCTTCAAAGACAGGGAAAGGGAAAGGGAGAGGCATAAAGAAAGGCGGGTTTAAAAATAAACTTTTAATTTTAATCTTTTAATTTAAAAAAATCTAAGAATTTATTATTAAATTTTCCAGGCATCGTCATCGCTCCCGAAGTCGAAGCGTCGACAGAGAGAGAAGAAGGAAGCACAAAAGCCGAAGCAGAAGCCCCGGACATAGGAGCCACAAGAAAAAAAAGTCAAAGAAATCCGACAGAAAAGACAACAGTGACTAAAATTGTAATGTAACTACAAAACTGTTCTTATTTTGAATAATGTATTTTATTGCGGTCGGTTGGTTATCTGAAAATTTCAAATTTGTTTCATTATTTTTCCTTTTTTGTTTTAATTGAATGTATATATTGTATTAATATATATACTCAGACACACACTCACTCACATACACAATAAAGATTCACACATTTGTATATGTAAGTGTATAATCTCTTTTAAAATAATATTGGTGATGAAATTTCATTTATGTATAAATCTTACATTTAAAAATATACATTTAATTATATTTATGTAAATTGAATTTTGTGTTTATTCGTATGTAAAAGTAGATTATAAATTTTTATAAAAATATATTTATACGTTTCTTTATTTTGCAAACCTCCTAATGAATATGCAATTTTATTAATTTTCAGGAAACTTGTTTGGATTCAACTTTTTGGAGGCTTCTTTATTATACAAATAAAATAAATATAAACTTGATAAAAAGTCTTTCATATTTATTTTCAAAAAAAAAAAAAAAAAAAGGTATAAGGTCAATATTGTGTGGTCCTTCATTCTTGATCCCATGATTTAATTTTACAAGTTTTTTTTAAAAGTTTTTTTTTTTTATTGCTATCTGTACAAAATGTACATTGTGTAGTTATGTACAAATCTGACAGACTTTTCAGACCAGGAGGCAGTGGGGAGAGAAATCAGCAAGGGCTGGGATTCTCTTTTATTTAATTGGATTGGTTAAGATAAAAGACTTATCAAAAGGTGATGAGGCCATCATCGTTTCGAACGGCATGGAGGATTGTAAAGGTGGTATGTTGAAGAAAGAGTTTGGGATATAGTGGGTTAGGGTGGAGGGATAGTTTAGAGTGAAAATCAAGGAAGCATGTTCTGACAAGATCTTTCACGAACGGGATTTTAAGATTTTTATGGATCGTTTTTGAGGATACGGCGGAAAACATTAGATGGAAAGGATTGAATTCTTTGGAGGTTAGATGATTTGTCCAAGCCCCACAATTCGATTCTTAAGTACAGATGGGAGTGATGAGTGTTTTGTAAGCACATGTTTGCTTAGTGTTGATTTCAGCTGCAGCAGGTTGTAAGCAGTTAGTTTGTTATGTATGCTAAGTGTTGATTTTGGTTTCAGTAGGTGTCTGAGTAGTTCAAATTTTTTGTTAAGTTCTTGTCATTTTAATCTTCCAAGTCTGCTATCTACATGGAATAAATATTTAAAATGCTATGGACAACCTGATTCGATGGTGGTATTATTGTGTTGTTAATGTGCACTGATGGGCAGGTTTGACGAGCATAAACGTAACTTGTTGGCTTTTTGCTCGTTCAACCTGATCCGCCACCTGTTCCATCAGTCGATAATGAGGTTCAGGTGTTGGATTGCTTCTGTGGATAGAATAGGATTGGAGTGTTGATAAGATTGCAGTGTCGTCCGTGTAGGTTGAGAGTTGTGTGTTTGGATGTATCGTTGTTTGCAGTATGGATGGTGTAGAGGATTGGGCCTAGGATACTTTCTTGTGGAATGCCCATTTTGATTGGTGTAATGGGTGATGAATCTGTGCCGATTCTTTCTTTAAACCAGATAGGAAGGACTTCAGGATAAGATAGTAATATGAGGAAGGAATACGGCTGACCAGTATTGTATGTTTTCTAGAGCCGAAGATATCTAATTTAAAATCTCGATGATTATTTCTTACACCTTTTGGTCTCTTTCAGATAAGGCAGTGTTTCAACTAAGTTGCCTGGTTGACTGTCATGTGATGTCTGCTACTGTCCGTGTGACTGTCCTCCATCACCCTTTACATCTCTTATCTAATTAACCTAATTGAGGTCAAAGAGACACTCAACATTCTACATCAGCCATCTTTCACTGCACATTCACGCCAATACTCCCACCACATGCTAGGTACAAAAAAACTATCAATAGTATATTCAATAAAACTGACCTATTAACATCAAACATGGGGTCCCAGGTACTGCTGCCATGCTCAATCACAATTCCCATATCAACAGGCATTCCTACACGCTCTCTATATAGAGCCAAAGGAATTTCATCCTTCAATACGTGGGACTCATCGAGCAATCTTTCTCTTTATTAGGTTGAATTAAATTATGTAGGAGCTGGCCTCTTTAAGACCTGTCCACCGTGACCAGTATTGGTCTATTGTGCATCTCCATTTTTTAATCTAGAGCTCCTCATTAAGCTTAAGGCTTTTTACAGACCCCAAAGCTTTTTACAGAAACCCCAGGGCTCCCTTGTGTATCCTTCAGGCCCTGGCATTTCCTCTCCCAGGATTAGAAATATCAGCCTATACATGCCTTTGCACTAACAGAGGACATATTCATGTTTCTTCTTCTTGGCAATATTTGCATAGGCTTGTTTTTGCCACACCGAGTCTATACATATGCCTCCAGAGTCTGCAGTGTCCAGTCATTAGTCCATTTTTGCAAAATAACACATACATGGGCTTTGGACCAAAATCAAGTGTCTGTGTTAGCCTCACATGGCCTATCCTTAATTGGGTGAGGATGACCCTTCTTCTATGAGTCAGGTCATCCAATGGCCATCTATTGACATTGCTCTTGATACACGAGAGCTTTTCTGCCAATCCGGCCCACCTTCTTCTAACCAGCTTAATTTTAGCACCTGAGGGCCAGATCATGGTGGTTAAGCCCACAGGAGCGTTTCGTTACCAGACCTATTGTCTGGGTGGTACTCAGACAACAGTTATTGTTTGTTGAGATGCTTTAGTTTATGATATTTCTTCAGCAAAAGCACCATGAGGGTCGATGAAGAACGGACCACATAACCATGTTGAGAGAGTCGGTGCCGACCAGATAAGCAAGAGCCACCATTGTCTCAAATCACCTCAAGCACGTGCCAAATCGCATACAGTTCCGCTGTGTAAATGCTTCAGTTCAGTAGTATTTCTGTTATTATTCTGTCATTGCTGCCACATCTTTTTTCTAATTTGATTAATATTGAGGTTTAAATCTAATTGATATTTTTATAAATAATAGGTTCCAATAAAAAGACAAAACAGGAAATTACTGAAAAGTTGTTTTATTATGAAGTAGTAAATTTTATAGAATTTGTACTAATATTGTTTTGTAGCTATAGAGACTAACAGTAAAACTTAACTATTCTACAAGTAAGAATAATATAAATATTTAAGATAAATACAATATGAAATCACTTTAAAATGTACAATAAAACTATGTAAACACTTATAAATTTTGTGGTAATCTAATAATTGAAATGATTTGTCTTTTGTTACTCTTGTACAATTTCTGTAATTACATTATTTGTTGCCGAAATAATCACAAAACACAATGAAAACAAACATTCTGTGAAGATCCAGACTGCTGAGTGCATAAAGAAATTTCTTACCAGCAAGTTTTTCAACTGACTTGGGAAGACGTTAATGTGCAATAAAAACTATCGACCATATTAGGTGGAGGTCGTTACACACCATTAACAATTTTCAATCTTTCTTTATACCCTAGTGTAATATTTTCAATAATTCTGAATATATAATTGGCACAAACTAGAAAAAGTTAATTTAATTTTCTTTTTAAACTTCTATAAATTTTAAGCTAAAGTGCCGTTCTTGTTTTTATTTGTTTATTTCCTCCTCCGACTTTTAGGTAAGTGTCTCAAATGCTGTTTGTGCTTATTATTTTTAAAACAAACTTTAGACCACTACTCAATAAGGATATTTAAAAGTTATTCACAGTTTCAGCTTTATATATGCCAATTGAGCAGCAAGAATTCAATTCATAATACAATAATAGCTTTAGTACATGTGCACATATATTGAGCAGTGTATACTTCAATATATACATACATATACTTAACGTGTACTATCAGTTAATAAATATATTAAGAGATTTAATATTAGTGAATATAAAACAGTAAACAATTAGTTTTTTAATTTTATTTCCCAACTTTTGACTGTCACCAACCGAGTGTACCTTCCCTGAGTACCCCCGGTTGCCGTAATTTCAGGAAGCTGTGACCAAAAACGATAATCCTGGAACAATATTATCCTTCTATGTACAGCTTCCTTAAAAACTTGACTTCACATTCAAAAATTTTTTTTTTTAATTGAGTGCTAAAACTTTAAGAAAGTAAGGGATATTAATAATTTATCTCCGTAACTAACAAGGAGTAGTAATATTATAAATTACTTTTGCCTTATAATACACAAAGAGTTAATTATAAGAAAAGCAATAAAATTATTTTGTGCCTTTTTTTTTTTAATAGAAAGATAAACACTAATTCATAGACACACTGAATATTAATTTTTGTACCAACTAAACTTAGCTCAATAGTTTAAGGTTCTTAGGCACTAATAAACTTCAAAATTGTGAAAAAAATAAATATGTGATTTTTCAAGTTTCCATCTAGTTTAAAGCTATTAAATGGCATAATGTAATTAACTTTTTGTAGTTATATTATTTGACTGGTCAAATTACCTAAAAGCCAAAGATTGGTAGGCTATGGGAACCAGCCAATAGAATATTATTTTATTCTAATCTCAATAATCACTCTAATATGATTAAAAATTCTTGTTAATAGTCGATAGCAGTAACAAACCGTTTCTATTCTGTCTAAACCTTTCATCCACCATCTTTTCTAATCAAATCTCTACACTCATTGAATATATATTATTAGTCTTTGCTTTAAAAAAGTTGAAAGAGCTTTATTTAAGTAACTATCTTTTACTAAATTGACTTATTTCAAACTAATATTCTTACAATTTATTCATTCTCACATAATTATAAATAGGTTCTGTTTTGCTCTAGTTGGGAAAGCAAAGAGCTGACTAATTTGTTAAAATAGATTCTTATTGTGCTTCATTATTAGAAAAAATCAATTTAAAAAAATATGAATAAACCAATTTTTTTTTAAACTCTAAAAGATAGAAGTATTCATGAAAAATCTCCACAAGTGGTTTTAAGTGATTGATATTTGCCACAGCACATAAGCTTCTTGAAAAGTTACAATTGATATTCTGTGCCCAAGTGCGAAATAAGTAAAGGCTGGTCCCAAAGGCTTAATGTTTAAGATACGAAAGCAACTGCGAAGTAGAGACGGATTTTTGCCAGCTCGTCAACTCACCCTATAGCTGTAAAAATAAAAAACGCAATTAAACAAGATATAAAGGTAATTCGATAATTCTCTAATTTTAACGTAAATTACAGGTGAAAATTGAAGTATTAAAATTGACTCACATGCAGTTAATACAACATGCATTTTGTACAAAAAAAAGTTTAAATAAATTTTTGAAAAGTGTATAAGGGATATTACAACATTGAGAACTTTCATACACAAAATACATTTCTAAAAAATAATCTAAATGAAAATTTCTATATACTTTTAAAACAAGCTTTTTACAAAGCACATAGCTAATAATAATAAAAAAAGAAAAATTGCTAATCGCCTGCAACGCAATTTCTACCACTTGTAGTAATCAAATTTGCTTAATTTATGAAATGTTATAATAAAAAAGTAACAATATTGAAGCCCTATTGAAAAATACACTTCTCATTTAATAATAATAATAATGATAGCAATATCTTTTCAAAAGAAGTCATATCTTTCTACTGGCTCACAGTTTGATTTTTTTCAAATTGGTGCTACTTCACTTTGAAATTGAGTGAATTATACACTCGTTTATTAATTTACATATTTCTAAATAATGTTTTATGAGGTTAAAAATTTTGCCATCTTGGTCTAAACGCCAACAAAAATTTAAGTTTGTGTTTAAACGGAATGCTTGTAAAATCTTAAATGCAATTTTAAGATTTGACCGTAAAAAATGTGAGATATAAACACGAACTTTATAGTAATGATTCAGTTGTAATATCTACTTTCATGGAGTTTCATAAATTAATGTTTAATAAACAATGGGTAATTTATTTTTCAATAAATATAAATTTTTACATTGTGCAAGGATTTTGTATTTTTTCTGATTTAAGTTCATTATTGTGTATATTTGTGTAATAAATGCAGTGGAAATTGGCAGTTTTTTAAAGCATGATTACAGCATGGTAAATTTCACCATCATGAAACTCCTTATATTAAAAGAAACATGGTTTATGATTGAATGAAAAGCATGAATTTTCACTACATTTGATAATGCATAAAATCAGGTAAAACTACACATAAAATTCTTAACATTTAAATCACAATGCTGGAGAATTATGTAGCATAATGAGCCAGGGATTCCGTGTTGTCTAATGAGTGCATGTCAGTTACGACCCAGTGCAATAGCCCGTCGGAAAGGTACAAATCCAAAAATGAATCGTTTTAGGGTTGAACACGGAGATGCATAGGCTATTACACTTTGACCGGTTTACGTACAATTCGGCAACATCTCAACATCGTGACTTGGCTGAACTGGTTGGGGTTGCTGGGGTGGCTGCTGCACGTTTGTCGTTGGGGACTTTGCCGAGCCACTGCTGCTCCTCGAGCCACGCAGTGAACCCCTAGGAGATACTCGAGACCCTAGGCATCCAACTTTACTTACTCACATGTTCGTTTCTTTTCTTCTTATTCAAATAATTGTTCAATGATCAAAATAGTAAACCTGTCCTAATATAATTTTTATTTTAAAACTTTTTTTTAAAAGGAAAACTAATGTAATCTGAAATAACTAAATTCTAAACAAGCATTCAGAAAATTATTATAGTAAAGTACCTGATTCTTTTTGTTTATATTTACAGAATTTCTAAAAGCAAGAGATTGTATAGTATTAGGCAGGAAAGTTCTAATAGATTGAGTCTATTTTTCACAATTTCAACTTGTACATTTTGCACAAATAAGATAGAGAAATGTCTAGTAAGAAAGGATAGTTGCAGGCTAATCATCGCTAATGTGAAATCTAATATTCTACTTTCAAGAAAATTTCAGAAAATATCACACATCGTATAGAGAGCCAAGTCGCCAGTTACACACCATTCTTGCCTCCCCACAAAACTGAATTTTATTTTTTACTCTCTAAATTCACTATTTCGTGGTCCGCTTGACCAATTAATATATTACAATTAATTAAGGTTTTTAGTTGAGATAAAAAAGTCAATGGCACGAGCGGGATTCGAACCCATGATCTTCGGCTAGATACGCCGCTGCTCTACCACTTGAGCTATTATGACCTCGATCCACTCGAACACTAACTTCTTATCTCAACCCCACCTTTTGAATTTTCCCTCCTTTTTGCCATTTTTCAAATGTCACGTAATCTTTATTGTTTACTACAAACTTTATGAATACATAATTTATTTTTCAAACTGATTAAGTCTTCAAAAGTGCTGGAGAGAAAAAAAAATGATTATGGTAAAAATAAAAAATTCAAGTGTCCCTGCAGTAAATGAAAACATGAAATAAGTGCAAACAGAATTTATTAACAAACAAGTGGATCTGTATCAATGATTATATTTATTCCTAAATACCAATGATCAATGATTTAAATAATAATCAATTTAAATAATAAAAAATACAAGAAAAGTGATTTGTGATTTATGTGCTGTTGCTTGTGGACTAATACAAAGAAAAACTACACTGTGCAAACAAAATAATCATAAATAATTGACTGTAATAAAAATTGTTGAATGGCATTGAATAAAATTTATAAAGAATTTATTATGTTACACTCCTTACTTAATTCTTTGCTTATAAAAAAGAAAGTAGGCCAAACAAGAGGGATGACCAATGTTATTTACTCAGCTTCCTCATGAATTATTATTGCCAATATGTTATATATAACTTATTATGTTTTATGTATAAGTTTTTTTTTCGTCTCAACTCCCTTGTCGGTTATTTGTTTTTCTTATATTGATAAAAACTCTGTTTTGATTTACTAGTATTTGTGGGGAGGATAAAGTCATTGGAATGAGTCCATACAAAAAGTGCTACAAGTTGCATGTTTACCCTGAGATTGAGCGGCAGGAGATTGGGGTCTGAGGGAGGCCAAACTTGGCTGCCTGCTGGGCGCCCCCTTGCTGCCTCTCCTCTCACCGGGAGCCTTGTTGTCCCGCAGGAGTGACACGTTCATTAGCCTGGGGTTCGGCGTGTTGAATATGGTCCTGTTTTCTCTCCATCGTGCCCTAAAAATTGAAACATGAGAAAGTATTGTTACATAGTAGAAAAAGTTGATTAAAACAGCAAACAATAATTGAAAATTAAATTCTGGATAATATTGTACAACAACAAAATCAACAGTGAAGCGAGTAAACAAATACTTCCAGAAATAAGGCAAAAATGATCTGAAATAACAAACACTGACATTTTTAGTACAGAATAAAAGGTTAACATATGCAAATTGAAATAATACCTATAGAAGTTTAACAATTTGAAAATTATAAGTAAAATTACAGTAGTAATTGCAACAATAATAATTGGCTACAAGATAATGATAATTTATTTGTAAGGCTTTTTTTAAAGGTACATGCTAGAAAATGACTTTTCATTCCATATTTGATCATCTTTGATCATTGTGACGAGGGTTTGAACAAAACTGGTGACATCTATTCAACAACCCTGTTGAAAACATCATGAATGTATTTCTGTTAATTAACTTTCTAGCTGCTTTGAAACTTTTGGTACATTTTCTCCTGAGAATAATTAAAATGGTTCTTCACAAACATATTATTACTTACAAAATTAAGTAAATTAATTAATTAGAGGTTAAAAAAAGAGAAGGGGAATTGCTACGTCGCATGCATACGTAAAATTTTAATTTTTATATGCTTACGCTTATAATATTACAGCTTTACAGAATATTAGAAACACCAAAGTAAAAATTAAATGTAACCCCAATTTTGTAAAAAAGTTATTGATCCCATTTCTTTTTGTTTGTTTATTGACCTTATGGAAATGAGTACAAACGTTTTTGTACTCATTTATTTATGATAATATCGATCACTATTTGTATTCGATGGTTTATTCATGACTTATGCCCTTGGCAATGAATGTTGAAATATGCCTGGGAAGTGTGGAATAAGCGGAGGCTTTTCAATAATGATGATTGATGATCAAAATGTCAATATGAGTTTATTAATGCACTAAGAATCAACAAAGTTTAGTTTGCCTTAATTTTCTCATGTTTATAAGAGCAATGATAACAAACAATTTTATGTAAACAAAAAAAAATTTGGTATAAGTTTATTTAACATTCTTGCTACATGAAGTTTTGCTTATAAGGTCAAAAAAAAAATTAAAAAAACAACAACTTGAAACTTGTTTTGAGGGTGCAGCCCATTAGCCGTCCTCATTAATTTAGAACCTTTTATGATATAAAAAAAATGGTTAAAGATAAGATTGAAGAAACTTTGTGTAATATATTACAATTAATTAAGGTTTTTAGTTGAGATGAAAAAAAGTTAATGGCACGAGCGGGATTCGAACCTACGATCTTCGGCTAGATATGCCGCTGCTGTACCACTTGAGCTATCGTGACCTCGATCCACTCGGACACCAACTTCCCACCTCAATCACACCTTTTGAATTTTCCCTCCTTTTTGCCATTTTTCAAAAAACATTCGAGTCATTATTTTGTCTTTACTTTGTCATTATTTTTGTCCAATTTAAAATCCGATTGCACCACTGTTTTCAGCATAAATCGTTGAAAATGTGTCCGAATGTATAGGGTCTTAGTTGAAATTTTGGTGCTGAGCTGAGCCTGAGGTACCCTGTATAATTTTTCTCCCAAAAAGGCAAAAATTTGAAACTAGACTAAAAAATATTAAACATGTATTTTTGGCCATTGAAAAATGGCACAAAGGAGGGAAAACTCATAAGGTGGGGTTGAGATAGGAAGTTGATGTCCGAGTGGATTGAGGTCACGATAGCTCAAGTGGTAGAGCAGCGGCGTATCTAGCCGAAGATCGTGGGTTCGAATCCCGCTCGTGCCATTAACTTTTTTTCATCTCTACTAAAAACCTTAATTAATTGTAATGTATTAATTGGTCAAGTGGACCACGAAATTAGTGAATTTGTGTAATATTGTGTTACCGATGTACCATGTTATTATTTTTAAGACCAGATTTTGGATGCTTGTTGAGATAGTGGTAAAGGAGCAAACTGACACCCATAGGTTCAGAATGGTCATATCACTCTCAAGAAGTTTTCATCCAGTATTAAGCTGAGGTACTTCTTGGTTTTATCCAAAGAAATACTTGCCCATTAAAGTTTATTGGTGAAGTCATCATTTACTCGTTAATAAAAATTTCACTGATGTAGATTCACATATATTCATTTTAATCTCCAATTGGATGTGGTTTGCAGGGCGTGGACTTGTGCCTTTGTTCAAAATCAAGCAGATTGTACTTTTGCTGTTTTCTAGTGTAGGGTAGTCAGTGGATAAGAGATGTAACAATGGGCCTAAGCCGCCCTGTGGAACCCAAACTCTTATTTTTTCTATTGTGGACAACAAACTTACCAATTTATTTATTTATTTTTTTTTTTTTTAAATTAGCAATAAGGCCTGACGTTCTATTATTTCTAAACTGTATCCACAATTTCATCAGCCATTCTATGGAGATGTTGAAGGCTTGCATTGTAATTCCCTAAAGAGTACAGGTGCCAGAAGTAATTGCAGAATAAGTAATCCCTTGAAGATTTTTGAGAAGGGAAGGAGTAACTGTGGGCTTCTCTTTTTGATTTTCCTAGTTTGTAACTATGATTATAACTATATTTCTCCAGTCTTTTGGAAAAGAGTTAGATTTGCATTAGAAATACAAAGGTCTTTTTGAGGTAATACTTTTAATAGAGTCTGCACTATATGGTCACAACCAGAGGCTTTTTTTGGAGGGGTTCTCATTAACTTGCTCCAGAGTAAAGAATGTTAGGGAGATAACTGTACAGGTTCTTTTAGTTGGTTAGTTATTTCCTTATATTAAATTACAAGTTTCCTTTTAAAAGTTTGTAAAATGTTTTGCAATCGTTTTCCAAGGAGTCCGTCTTTCTTTCTCCTCTGGTATTTTTGATTAATGGAAGTTGTAATCAATTGTATTTGCCTATTTTTGGACGAATTATATTCCAACATTGCTTTTGAAGTAAATTAATTTAAACTTTAAGAAAATTTAAGTTTCAAATTATGCGAGTTTCTTTAAAAACTTCCTAACTCAAGTCAGGAAGACTGGTATGAGTAACCTCACTTTTCTATGCACATAAACAATGAAAAACAAAATTTTGAAAATTAACCATTAAATTAAAATTTAAGTATTGCCAAAAATGTAGGAATTTTCAATATTTAAATAAATGATTATTTAAATAGTTTTCAGAAAAAACATTTTCTTTATCGTGCCAATGTTTCGATCTTTATTGAGATCATCTTCAGGGCCTGGGATTTACAAACATTGTTTAAAATTAACAAATACATGTAGGATGTGGAAAAAATTGAATTTATACAATGCAAAAAAAAAATTTTTTTATATTCAATCAAGTGAGTTTGATTGAATATAAAAAATATTTTTTTGCATAAGTTGTTAAAGGTTGGACTACTAATCATAGATCATATTCCCGTCTGGTGTAAACGCCTTTTGTCTAATGAGAAAACTTGATTAAATTGAAAATGCCGTTAAAAATGTAAAATGCCGCAGAAAACGGCCGTGCTCCATTTTCTGTGATTACACCGACCTATTAACGTTGCCGACTATATAAAAACGCAGTTATAAACTTTCATAATAAGGTCTGTTTGAGCGACACGCCATGGCTGAAAGTAAAGAAAAAGAAAACAAGACGTTGAAAGAAAAATAATTAATATTCTTGTTATTACATTTAGAAGTAGTAGTGTAGTTCTGGTAAATTGCGAGACAAATCTACTATCTGAAATGAAACTCGTCTGATAGACTTAAGTAGTTAGAATAGACAGAACAGGATGACCTGAAAACGTCCACTTAACAATTTTTAAATGACCAAAAAACGTTTTATTTAATTTATTTGTTTTTATATTTAATAATAATATAAGGGGGTTATCGTTGCGGCCAGTTGTTTGGGTAAATAAAGAAGAAAATAATTTATTAAACAAAGGCTTAAAATTTGTCCCGAAAATAGAATTAGATACAAAAAAAACTATTATCCCTTGGTTCATCGGTATATTGTAACTTAAATACAAATATAAAATATAAATGTGCTGAAGTAAATAAACAAAACTTGGTAAATTTAAACGTCAGAAAATTAAATACCCCAAATACAATAAAGGTCTATTGATAAAAAGTTAAAAAGTAACAACAACGTTATTTTAAAAGACGATAAAAGAAATAGAATAGTTAACATTGAACATCAAAATTGCGTTTCTAATGTTGAAGAATTTCTAAACAATAACGAGTGTAAAGAAATAAAAAAAGATCACACCTAAAAATTAAAAACTTGATCCATTAGATTTCGCGGTTCGATTGACCAAATAACTTCTTTCAATTAATTAATCTTTGAAAAATGGCAAAAAGGAGGGAAAATTCGAAAGGATGGGTTGAGATGGGAAGTTGGTGTCCGAGTGGATCGAAGTCACGATAGCTCAAGCGGTAGAGCAGCCGAAGTTCGTGGGTTCGAATCCCGATCGTGACACTGACATTTTTATCTCAACCAATACCTTACATAAAGATTAATTAATTAAAAACTAGAGTTCAAACGGCCATAAAAAACAGTAGTTATTCTCAAATGACAAATATGCAGTTAAAACTAATACCAATGAACCCGAAACCCCAAGGTTATACGGTATGGTCAAAATTCACAAGAAAAACAAACCTTTAAGATCAGTAGTGTCCTTTTATAATCCCCCATGCCAAAAACTCGCAATTACAATTGATAAAATAATTAAAACTCACACCAATTTCAAACCTACATTAAACAATTCTTTAGAATTGATAAAATAATTAAATAACATCAATATACCTAAAAACTGTGTCTTAGTGTCATTTGATGTCATCAATTTATTCACAAATATCCCCGTTGAAGAATGTACAAAACTCATATAACAAAAACTTACGGAGACTTCTATTAATGAATTTGTAAAAATTGATAGAATAGACCTCTTAAATACACTGATAGGCCAGAAAGTCCGCCCAATTGATTTTGTTTTCATTTTCTCGTTAAAAGAAAATTTTGC